TCAGTAACAGCCTACGTCCATGGTTGGGATTCGGCGAAAGTTTTCACTATGTGTAAAATCGGAGATTACAAGTTTTCAGCCCCTTACTCTATTTTTGTACAAATATCAGAGTCTCTCTTGTCCACCACTCCAAACTCTAAGTGCTCTTATATATTGGGTTACAAGAGAAAATATATTTTATTATACTCAAACAATAAAATTAGAAGTGTTGTTTTATTATTTTCAATTATACTCTGAAAATAAAATAGTCATTTTTTTAAAAAAAAATATTACCAAACATATTTTCTTTCTTTTCTTTTGAAAAATTCAACAGCAGATGTACGTTACCAAACATATTTAATTTTGACCAAAATGACTACACAACTTTTCAAAACATGTCATTTTCACTAAATGAAATCACACTCAAAAATGAAAACCACAACTTTACCAAACAACCCTAAGAAAGCTAAAACAAAGAAAGTACTCAATATTTGCATATAGTAGAGAAAAAAACTGAAGCTAGAAATTGTGAACTGCAGCACAAAACTAGATCAAGAAAATAGCTTTTTGAAGACCTTACCAAGAGCTGTATTGGTGGTGCTGTAACCCCCATCTACCACCATGTTCAGCCCACTCACATACTTGGACTCATCACTTCCTAAGTACAATGCTGCCTCGGCTATATCTTCAGCTTCCAACATCACCCCTTTTAAGTTTACCCCCATAGAAACCACCTCCTTTGCCCTTTTCTTATCCTGCATCAATTCAGGTAAATTCCCCAGCATTCCTGTGGGCACCATAAATGGAGATATGCAGTCAACTCTGATCCCATACTTCCCTAGCTCAATGCATAAGTTCTTGCTGAGTCCAACCACAGCGTGCTTTGCAGCCGTGTAGGCATGTGGAATTTCAGCACTGCTTACAGAACACAAGCTTGAAATGAACAGAATGCTGCCTTTCTTGGCTGGGATCATCACTCTTGCCGCGTGTTTGCGCCCAAGAATGCACCATAGACATTTACATCGAATACCCTGTTGAAATCTTTGCGATCCAGAGATAATATTCTTGGATCCATGTTACCTGAGATACCTGCATTGTTGTACATTATGTCAAGCTTACCGTGCTTGGCCACAGCCGTGTCAACAACATTTTGGACATCAGTCTCACAGCTAACATCACAATGGACATAGGAAATGGATTGATCCATGCCAATGTCTTTACATAGAGAGCGATCAAGCTTATTTTGGATGTCTGCGATGATGACCTTAGCACCATGTTTGACAAACAGCCTTGCAGTACTCTCGCCAATGCCACTGGCACCACCAGTAATCACTGCCACCTTACCTTCCAGCCTGCATTTTCAAATTCAATAAATTTTCATGCATGTTGTGGCCCATTTATCTCATTTAAGCTAGATCAAAGAAAATTAACCAAAGTGCAAATTGGTGACATTAATGTTAGCTTACCTTTTGGCAATTGGAGCGAGCAAGGAAGAGGCTTTCATCATATTAATTCCTTAGCCAATTGTTTCAGATGAATGAAAACCCTTATGCGAACTGATCTACATTTCACATGCTTGAGCCAAACTGCTGTATTTAAAATGATATTCTGTGCTTCATAATCAAATGTTTGTCGTAATTAATAGTCAACTTCTCCAAACACAGCCAACATAGCACATGTCTGAAACTTCTCAAAAAAAAAAAACAAAGAAAAAAAAAAAAAAAGCATCTCTTTAACCATATTCCTTGGATGATGTTGTCCAGCTTTGGCAGTGTAGAGTTCATTCTTCACGCCTTTGTTTTAGATACACCTTGCAAGTCTGTCTTTGTTAATTTTTAATTTTTTATTGAGAAGGACTGCTGCAACTTGCAAGAACTGGTCATATTATAAGTTCTTGTGTCACGCCCCGAATCCCATGACTCGGGTCGCAAACAAAGACAAAAAAAGTAAATAAATAAAAAAAATTAATTAAATGAAGAAAATCGGTATCATTCACCACATAAATAATAATAATAATAATAATTTTTAAAAAAAATAATATTTAAAGGTTGGCAAAACGGTGGGGATTAATTCTACGGGAAAAAATTAATAGTAAATGAAAACACATGGTCAACAATTTCAGCAACCTGGGGCAATACAGTGTAGATGCCATAATGCAATTGTCAATCTTTGAGTAACAAATAATCTATATGCATGGGCCACCACATGGTGATATTAATGATCCTGATATCAGTGTACACACACACACACACACACACACATATATATATATATGTTAACAAGTATTAAACAGCCACCTAATATAAGTCATTACATGCATACAAACAATCATCATGTGCTTACAAATAACGAAAGCAAGAATGGTGGTCCCAGTTAGTGGCTTATATAAATACGTGCATTGGGTGAACCACAACTCATAAATTAGATAGTGATTTCAATAAAAATGTGAACACAGGAAGATATTAATTTACAATAAAATTTCCAAATTAAATCATATTACTAGTATGTAATTAGGTTCCAATACATGCACTTATTATAGTTCATCAACATGGTTTCTAAACAATATATATGACCCAAATAAAAGTTACAGTCTCCATGGCCTCGTTACAATAAGAAATAATGTTAAAGGGTTATATGAATAAAGATAAGGGAGGAAATTTCATAAGAAATCCAAAAGATAGAGGGATGAACTCCTAAGTCATTTCCCTAATCCGAAAGAATATTACAGGCATGTCATCAATTATAATATCCAAAATACACCATGTGTCAAAATATAAGTCCAAAAGTAAGCTACACAATGGATGTCACAATTATCACAAGTAGCTTAAAAATATTGTCAAGATCCCAATCAAGCTAGGGATGAGGAACCCTTATTGGGCAATGCCTTTTCCTGAAAAATATAAGAATCAACGAGGTGAGCAACGAATTGCTCCGTAGGAATATCTTATGAATATAAACTAGATTTCTCAAAATTTTACAAACATTGCATGGCCATATAATACAAAGAACATGCTCTCTAATGTCTATTCTCAAGGGAAACTTAAATAGGATGATCCTAGTTCAGCATAAACAATATTAATTCATTCATCAAGACAAGCATAAATGATATAGTGCAATGTAAATAAATCCACAAGTTGCAATAACACATAAATGCCAATTTGAAAATAAAGGTCGAAATCAATTAATGGGATAACTCGTAACACACCCACACTCCCGGTCACATAACCATGCTATGCATCTAAATAAAAATAGTCGTTTTCGGATTACTAGTCCGCCGGAAACTAACCGATTGACCAATATAAAGTGGGGAAACTCATGTTTTACCCGCGAGCGCCAAACTCTCGCATTCTCAAAGTAACAACCCCTGAGTATCTCCCAAAATCAACACACAAGTCCACAAAATAATCCATATACCATGATATGCCCAAATTGCACTTCACATGCGCACATAAATTATACTAATCACACAATCCATGTCCTATAGTCCAAATCACTATAATGACATACTCTTTGATGCAATGTCAACAAATTGGGTATTTTAAAGTCATGTGATTTCATATTGTTATCATATCAAATTTCAAGTATGTAAAAGTTTAATATCATTATAGAAATGTACATAGTAATTGTACACACTAAAATCTAACACTTTAATAAACATCAATAATATCAAAAATGGAACAAATAATATGTTACACATGAAAATTAACATTAAAACTCAATAAAACATTATGTACATGCAATTAAATCATTTTATAAGTTCTCTAATCCAACCGCCACACACAAGTGTATGCATAACTCACACAATGGTCATAAAATTCCAAGAACTCCTAGGTTATAAGCACAATACACCTCTACCTCAAGCTAGGAGCAAACCCTAGCTACTCTAAAGGAAAAATGTGCTCCAAATCCGAAATTGATTAAGGGGTACATGGTTTTGTTCCTCTCGTAGTCCTCGTCAACTTCCCTTCTATGGCAAGCTCAAAACCTCAAAGGTTGGAGGTGAAATGGTGGAGAAATGGTTGAAGAAAAATGAAAAAGAAAAGAATGGGAGAGAGACGAGAGAGTGTCGGTGGAATGGGAGAAATGAGAGGATTTTGGCCTATATTACACTTTCTCTCTCTATACACACACACATACATATCACACATATTCTCATCCACACATATCTCATCCACTAGTCAACCTAGGCCCCACAACATAACAAAATGCAATTAAAAATATATAAATATAAAAGGGAAGGAATATATATATATATATACACACACACACTTGGTTCTCACATCTTGATTAATACAATCTGAAATATGACACCATTGTTTATTTATTTATTTTTGCTATATTTTTCTATCACTGCGGGGAGGATTTGACATGGTGAATTCAAGGATCTGAATATTGAGAAAATAATAAAAATAAATTAAAATTAGAAATTGCATGAAAAGATTTACATACTCTTCACATAATGATCAAAGCAATGCCCAAATTAATAACAATATATTACCCCTTGGTAACTTATTTTCAAATGGTGGTTTTCACTTTTCAATGTTACATAATTTCACAGGGTCACCATCATCCTATGTGTTCTGTTTTTTTTTACCTTTGGAGGTTTCCACAACTTGACATGATCATTAAAACAAGGGGATTTAACATTCAAATAATAATTAAAAAAAGATAAAGAAAGGAATTGAATCAACCAGAATGGAGCTAAAATAACAAATATTTTCAAACAACTTTTGTAGTTCTTCACATAAAGCTTAGCAAAATGGAGCTAAAATAATGAATATTTTCAACCAAATTTTGCAGTTCTTCACATAAAGCTTAGCAAAATGGATTGTATCATAAAAATGGCTACCTTCTTTGGCTCTCCATCATTTCCCTCACCCAATTTACAGGATCTCACCATGTTAGTAGCTTGGAATATGTCAATTGGCAGCCTATCAAAACAAATTTACAAAATAAATTCTGGTTCACCTCTAGATCAATTAGCTAGTAATTTATATACTACATAATATAAATTTTCAGAATTCAGAAATGAGGATTGAAAATATAGAATCAATTGCAATTCAACACACATTGAAATTAAGGCTCGTTCCATATGAGAGCAGTTACCTTTAAATCTCATACAAATTGAAGGATGACTTGAGAAATACATGCAAACATAGCCATTTCAATCGCAAACACTTGAGAAAAGTGCAGAGGAGACTAGGCCTTCAATCCCTGCATTTATTAGAAAACCATTACAAAGTTCTTAAGTCTTGAACTTCAATAAAACATGGGTTCATGAAACCATTTTTTTCAAGGCTTCTCCCAGAGCAATATTGGTTGTGCTGTAACCCCCATCGAGCACAAGGTTTATCCCGCTCACATACTTGGAGTCGTCGCCTCCCAGGTACAATACCGCCTCTGCTACATCACTTGCCTCTGATACTGCCTCTTTTAAGTTTGCAATTTGAGAAACAAACTCATCCACCCTTTGCTTATCAGTGAAGCCCATTGCATTCACTAGCATTGGGGTGGCCACTCCAAAAGGAGAAATGCAATTGACTCTTATCCCACACTTCCCTAATTCGACACATAAGTTTTTGGTTAGTCCAACCACAGCATGCTTGGCTGCTGAGTACGCATGTGGCACATCTCCATAAGTCACTGAAGCTACACTTGAAGTGAAGACAATGCTGCCTTTCTTTTCTGGAATCATCACTCTGGCAGCATGTTTGGCTCCCAAGAATGCACCAAAGACATTAACATCGAATACCCTTTTGAAGTCCTCATAGTTGGTTGCTTGGATTCTTGGATCTGTATTTCCTGTGATGCCAGCATTGCTGAACATTATATCGAGCTTGCCATGCTTTGTAACAGCAGTGTCCACGGCATTTTGGACATGAGAATCACTTGTAACATCACAATGGACATAAGAAATAGCATCTTCACAGCCAATGTCTTTGCATAAGGAGTGACCAAGGTCATCCTGGATATCTGCAATGACAACCTGAGCACCATGTTGCACAAACAGCCTCGCTGTGCTCTCCCCGATACCACTGGCACCACCAGTTATCAAAGCCACCTTGCCTTCTAGCCTGCAAAATTACATGATCATACAAACTTTTAGTTTAATTATGGCCTATTTCTCTTAGGAAATTGAACATTCGTCGCTTACCTTTTGGCAATGGGAGCTAACAAGGATGAGGCTCTCATTATTTTCAGCTTATTTTTTTAGGTGAATGAAATTCATGGTTGAAACCCACATTTAACCAGTTATCAAAAGAAATTTAAGAACAAGAAAATTATATACAAATGCTAAGCCTAACTGTTTGAGTTGACTTTGGTGACACAGAGAGACAATGCAAAATCATTTTTATATGTCGCGTGTTCAATTTTGGTGACACAGACCTTGAATTCAGATGCAATTTCCAAGTCCGTTGATTTTTTTCTGAAGGGGCTACTCTTTCTCCATGTTTCTTTCCTTTAAAGAGTTTGCACCAGAAGGTCCACAACATAGTATTGTTATATCACCAAAAATGGGTTAGACATACTCGAAGATCTCATTGTTGAAAATTTTAAAAAGGGGCGAAAAAGACATGATAATTTTAAGAAATAAGAACGATTTGACATGTACAATATGATACTGATATATGTGATGCCAAATGAAAATATTCTTTCCTAGCTAGAGCTGAAAATTAGAAACAAGAATGATTTGACATGTACAATATGATAACTGATACATGTGACGCCAAATGAAAATATACATCTTAATACCATTCGTTCAAGTTGAATTTTGGAGTAGAATAGTCATATTCGAGGCTGATTTGGACCCTCGATCTCTACTAAAGTTAATTTTTATTTTTTTACATATGCCATGTTCATCCATACATCATCTTTTATTTTTCAATTATCAGAAGTCTTCTATCATCATTTGCTCAACGAAATATGTTATTATAATGCTTTGTCCAAACTCAGCTAGATTCCTTTTCAGAATTGGCTGGAACTTCTATTTCTTTAATGAGGAATCATTTAAGGGGATAGAGACGAAATAAATTTTAATAATGTCTTAAATGTTATACATGAACCTAATAGATTCACAACCATCCTTCAATCAAGATAAACTAAAGCATTTAGGAAAAAAAACTAAAGCAATATAACTATTGAATGTTATTTTTTAATTAACACTCCACTTGTAGATACATGTATCAAAGTCTAGATCTCTCTCTCTCCATTAATCAGCAGAGTTTTTCTCTTTGATTATGTTAACCAAAGTTTAAAGAACCCTCTGCATTTGGAAAGCTTTAGAAATGAAGAAACTAACTACCCACAAAAACGAAAGCATCAACTTTTTTGCTCTAATTTCATGTAATCGAGCTACTTACATTATTTAGTAGCAAGCAAGTAGTGCATAGCTTGGCAACCTTCTTAATCACTGAAAAAAGTTGTGAATCAGAAAAACCAAACACCATATAGTTCATTTTGTCAGACCATCTCGCGAATCTTTAAAGCCAATTCACAAACCATTTTGACACTCGACTTTCTTCATTTGCCTATTGCACCTCTACGAAATGAATAGCAATAAAATTCATTTAAAAAAAAAAAATGGAAAAGCAAAAAGTAGAGTGTGTTAAAATTTAATTGCACATGCTGTCATTGATTTCTCATGAACATATATAAGTCTACAAATTAATTGCACCATCAAATGCATTCTCAACGAAGAAATGGAACCAAACTTAAAATCTCAGCCATAGAAGCCTATTCACCATTGTCATTAGTTTTGCAACTTTTGCTCTATATGAAGGGCGAAATGCAAAAATACACCCCTTAGGTTCACTTCTGTGTTTTTTTTTTGTTCCTCGAAAGGCCAGAGTGTAAGGCTCCCATTTTGTGCACATAACACCCCTATTATCCTATAGTTCATTTTGTGTATATAAATCCTTCTTGTTTTCAAAATATTGCAAACAAGGGTTTGCCGTCAGTGAACTGTTATCACAGTTAGACAGTCATGTATGTATATATGTATTCTATATATATATATACTCTTTCACTCTCTCTCTATCTATATAAATATAGAGCAGTGATAAAGAAACCAAAAGTTTTTATCGAAATAAACAATAATTTTATTACCTAACTCCTCATCATCGATCTTTTCTTTCCCAATTTTTCCTTTTTCTCTCTCTTCCTCTTTGTTTATCCTCCTCTCTGTGTCTGGTTCTTCACCAATTCTTCTTATACATCCCCTTTCTTGATATATACATATCCAAAGTATCCTAGAGGCAAGATCCAAAATTCTTTATCACCGCTCCTTTTTCAAGATCACTACTTTTCTCTATTCATAAATCTTCCAAGAATAAATCTTTCCAATTCCAGATGAAAAATACAAAGATTTTTTTTTTTTTTTTTGAGTAAGTAAATATCCACAAAAAAAAAAAAAAAACTAGGGAAGAGAAACGCTGAATCTTCTCAAAGTTTCTGTTTGATTTTTATGATACAAAATTTGAAGAGAAACAACAGTTGCAATTTTTATTTTCTTTTTCTTTTTCTTTTACTTTTTTGTTGTGTTTTGGTTTTGTGCTTCTGTATTTGCAAAACATGAAGAAATTTAATTTTTTTTTTTAATTTTATCTTCAATTTTGCGGAATCAAAAAGAGAGACAAAACCAAAATCAAAGATAAAATTGAATACAAAAGAAAAATCAAGAATTAGGGAAAGAGAGGAAAGAGAAGGGAACAGGTAAGAGTTATGTTTTAAAAAAATAATCTGACATGTTAAGTTCAAATAGTTGTTAACTTCAAATAGTTGTTTGGTTAGGTTATCTTATCATTTTCCATAAATATATAATATATATCTCCTACCTCCGGCCCACAACATTGTCTTCAACCTAACAAATAAATCCACCATAAACCGTTTCAAGCCCTTTCACCAATTCCTCAAATCCCTTCATCACAATACCTTAAAACACTTATCCACTCAACAAAAACCTATGTAGACAATGTTCGTACCATGGCGTCTAATTTTAGGGTTCAGTATTAGTGTCAACTTAGGATACAAGACAATATCATCCACAAAAAAGGCTACAAATTGACATTTTTAAAAGGCATTAAAATTACCAAGTACATGCAGCACAGTGAATCAAAGAAAAGAGAGAAACCGAAATGAACATTTGACCCATGTGAACAGAACAGATCAGAACATGAGCACCAAACTTTACCAAATACGAATGTAATTGAATTGACCCCCCAGTATTCGGTATATATACAACCGTTAAAAATGGAATTCATGAACAAAATTAAGAAAATCATACTACCTTCCAATACCTCTCCTAAACAGCGCCATCGCCTTCCAATCCGTGTTGGTTTTAGTTGGTAGACGGTAGATTCAACAGCAAGCTTTGAGTTATAGCTCTCATAAGCGGTCTTGATATGTTTAGTATAAAATGCTAGTAATTTCGAAGGTTACCAACTATGTACTAATAATATTATTTAATTTAAAAACCTATAGATGTGTGATCCAAATTGGAGTTTGATTTTTTTATATATATAAATAAACTCTAAAAAAGTAATAAAAGACGCCACCAAACAATTAATGATAACCTAAACTTTTTTCTTCTAGGATAAGAGATGAAAAAAAATGAATTCAGACTCATGTTTTTAAAAAGGTCAAGTCTATTAAAATTTAAATAAAATGTAACATGGTCTCTTACCCATAAGAAGACAAGTATTGGTTAATTCTAATGAAATGAGAACTGAATTGCCCAAACTGGCCAAACTTCACTAATCAACTCATTGATGATCCAATTAGTGGATGGATTATGATTCATAAATGCCCTGTCACTGTTCTGTAACTACTACATGCTATTCCTGAAATTCAATCATGAAGCTGATAAATATGATTCAGAGACCTCAACTTGATACCATAGTTGAGGAAATGAAGTTCCGAGCCCAACTCATTGAATATTCATTCCAGCGTTACAGAGATATTTATATATAGACACACACACACTGTGCAGAACAATCACTATTTTGAGCTATCACGCCCTCAATTCCACGACTCGGTCTCGAAGAAATAAAAATAAAAATAAATGAAAAATAATAATAATAATAGATAGTTAAATAAATAATTAATTAGTTAAATTCACTTGAGTAAATAAATAATTAATTGAAGAAAACCGGTGTCATTCACCACATAAATAATAATAATAATAGTTTCATAAAATAAATAATAGCATGATTAATTAACCATTTATATTAAACTATCCAAATGAACCCACATGTACACAACTTAAACAATAATTGTTCAATCCCACTATATAAGTCATGGCCACCATGGCCTCATTACAATTCATAAGGTGAGAAATAATGTTAAGGGATTACATGAGTAAAGATAAGAGAGGAAATTCCATAAGAACTCCAAAAGATAGATGGGTGAGTTCCAACGTCATTTCCCTCCTCCAAAAGAATATTACAAACATGTCATCAAATATAATATCCAAAATACACCATGTGTCAAAATATAAGTCCAAAAGTAAACTACACTATGGATGTCATAATTATCACAAGTAGCTCAAAAATGTTGTCAAGATCCCAATCAAGCTAGGAATGAGGAACCTCCTCTTAGGCAATGCCCTTTCTTGAAAAATATAAGAATCAATGGGGTGAGCAACGAATTGCTCCGTATGAATGTCTCATGAATATAAACTAGGTTTCTCAAAATTCTACAAACATTACATGGTCATACAATACAAGGAACATGTTTCCTAATGTCTAGTCTCAAGGGGAACCTAAATAGGATCATCCTAGTCTAGCATAAATAATATTAATTCATTCATCAAGACAAACATAAATAATATAATGTAATGTACATAAATTCACAAGTTGCAATAACACATAAATGCCAACTTGAAAATAAAAGTCGAAATCAATTAACGGGATAACTCGGAACACACCCACACTCCCGGTTACATAGCCATGCTATGTGCCTAAATAAAAATAGTCATTTTCGGATTATTAGTCCGCAGGAAACTAACCGATTGGCCAATATAAAGTGGGGAAACTCATGTTTCACCCGCGAGCGCCGAACCCTCGCATTCTCAAAGTAATAACCCCCGAGTATCTTCCAAAATCAACAAACAAGTTCACAAAATAATCCATATTCCATGATATGCCCAAATTGCACTTCACATGCGCACATAAATTATACTAATCACACAATCCATGTCCTATGGTCCAAATCACTATAATGACCTACTCTTTAATACAATGTCAACAAATTGGGTATTTTAAAGTTATTTAAATTCATGTTATCATTATATCAAATTTCAAGTGCGTAAAAGTGTAACATCATCATAGATATATACATCTTCAAAATTAACCTTCACAAAATAACAAATACATGATAATTCCATAAATAAACACAACATATAAGGCACTTTAATTACAAGAAATTGTACACATTAAGATCTAGGACTTTAATTAACATCCATAATATCAACAATGGAACAAATAACATATTACACATGAAAATTGATATAAAAACTCAATAAAATATTATGGACATGCAATTAAATCATTATATAAGCTCTCTAATTAAACCCACACACACAAGTGTATGCATAACTCACAAAATGGTCATAAAATTCCAAGAACTCCTAGGTTATAAGCACAATACACCCCTACCTCAAGCTAGGAGCAAACCCTAGCTACTCCAAAAGAAAAATGTGCTCCAAATCCAAAATTGATTAAGGGGCTTTGTTCCTCTCGTAGTCCCCGTCAACTTCCCTTCTATGCAAGCTCAAAATCTCAAAGGTTGGAGGTGAAATGGTGGAGAAATGGTTGAAGTAACATGAAAAATAAAAGAATGGGAGAGAGAAGAGAGAGTGTCGGTGGAGTGAGAGAAATGAGAGGATTTTTGATATATCTTACACTTTATCTCTCTATACACACACATATACATGTCACACACATTCTCATCCACACATATCTCACCCACTAGTCAACTTAGGCCCCACAACATACCAAAATACAATTAAAAACAAATATAAAAGGAAAATAAAAATAAAAATAAACTTGGTCATCACACGAGCAATGTACAGATCTACAGAGATCATGAGAGAATCAATTGCCCCTTTGGAGCCTTTGTAAACCCGTCCCATGGTTACCCAATTGCATTTAGGCAATGGCATGTATATACCTTTCAAAAATAAAAAGATAATAAATACCATATACATGAAAGCTCTTATGCAGTTCAAAACAACGGACTTTTCAACGAATCAAAAGTCAATTAGGAAAATTACACCTTATTACTTTATCAGATCTAACTATAGTTAATTTACCATAATTAGCTAATATCTTTATTCAATCTCTCCTTAATCTCTCTCATCGTCCTTGCCTCAATTACTACCGCTATATCCACACCATCACAGCCACCATCTTCACCACTACAGTCACAACACAACTACCATATGCATTCTCCAAAATCGGATCCACGTTACCATCTCTCTCTCTCTCTCTTCTTTTTACACTCTGATTTTTTATTTTTTGCTCTCTTTATTTTTGCTTTTTGATTCCCTAGTTTGATGGGTATGCACTCAAGTGGTACTTAAAATGTGCAACTTTAGGTTGGTTCGAGTCTCCAATGACATTATTGCCTTCTATGGTTGAGAATTAAGATATATATATGTATGTATGTATGTATGTATGTATCAATACATACAACTTTATATCTACTGCCTTTCCAATTGCATAACCAACAAAGAAACCTAAAACAGAAAGTCTTAATTCTCAACCATAGAAGGCAATAATGTCATTGGAGACTCAAACCAACCTAAAGTTGCACATTTTAAGTATCACTTGAGTGCTTACCCATCAAATTAAGGAATCAAAAGCAAAAATAAAATTTCAACCATCCAAACCATAACATATACATAGGATAGCATCCAATTTGGCTCAATGCATCATCAAATTTTTAAGTACCAAACTGAAAGACTGATTGGTTGTGCTATAACCGCCGTCCACCACAAGGTTAAGTCCGCTAACATACTTCGCCTCATCGCTGCCCAAGTACAAGGCGGCCTCCGCCACATCCTCCGCGGTCGGCACCACCCCTTTTAAGTTGGCCGAAGCGCAAACCAATCCCTCCACCATGCCCTTCTCCATCCCCATTGCATTTCTGAGCAATGGGGTAGCAACAGCACAAGGAGATATGCAATTAACCCTTATCCCATACTGTCCCAACTCCACACACAAGTTCTTGGTCAGCCCAACTATCGCGTGCTTCGACACCGTGTAGGCGTGAGGCGACTCACCGGCATTGACCGAAGCAATACTAGCAGTAAAGAGAATGACACCTTTTTGAGCCGGGATCATGACTCTAGCGGCGTGTTTGGCACCCAAGAATGCACCAAACACGTTGACGTCGAAAACCCTTTTGAAGTTCTCATTATCCGCCCCAAGAATTGTTTGATCCAAGTTGCCCGTTATACCAGCATTGTTGAACATGATGTCGAGTTTGCCATACTTGGACATTGTAGTATCAACCACATTTTTGACATCAGAGTCACTGGTGACATCACAATGTACATAGGTAACACTATGTTTGGAGCCAAGCTCTTCACAAAGTGCCTGGCCTAGACTATCCTGAACATCCGCAATGACCACCTTGGCACCATGGCGGACAAACAACCTCACAGTGCTTTCGCCAAAACCACTTGCTCCGCCGGTGATTATGACCACCTTGTCCTCTAACCTGCAATATATACATACATATGTAGGATTATTGATGCAAGTACATAGTTAGATATGGGAAATTAAGAGAGAGAATTTGGACAAGTTGAGGGGACAATGAGCATACCTTTTAGCAATAGGAGCAAGAGATTGACTACAGTTTAGAGAGTGACACTTCATATTCAAGTTGTTAATATGAAAGCAAATGAATGGGAGGACTAAAACGGCCAGTACTGATAACTACTACATGTTATGTGAAGGCATTTTATAGGTAGCAAAACATAGGAGAAATATTTACACATGTTCTAGAAGATACATTAAGAAAACCCAGCTGTACGTAGCTGTCTGCCACCAAACTCCCAAATTTAATTCTTTTGAAAAATGAAAAATGATACCGACTATATAACCGACTTGTGGGAATTAGTGATTATGATAAGTAATTAGAAAACAAATTTTGTTATTTTTAAAAACATACAAAAATTCTTTTCAGACTATATTTATTGGAGTAATTATAAAAACCAATTCATTTTTGAAGCAAAACTCAATTCTTTTTGGTGTGTGTGTGTAATTGGGTTGTCATGTTAGTTTTGTCACAGGGATGTTACATTGCAAGGTCTAAATAAAGTCTATATTACAATTATGGTAAGTTATGTAGAAATAAAAGCCAGCATGTTGCTCGCTCCAACTGCTTGCTTCACAGATTTCTTCAAATAAATACACTGGATGAAAGCAACTTGCCCATGTGTGTGGGTGTGTGATGCGAAGTGCAAGTTGTCCCTACACTGCGTGACTAATAAATTCACCATTGAATTTTGGAGTTGGACTTAACAAAACACTTTGTGTTTTCAAACCAAAACAAATGGAGGCAAGCGCCGCGTTCTCCCAGTTGTTCTTCATGCTTGTGGGAGCCAATGTACCATTAAATTTTGAAGTTGGACTTAACAAATCACTTTTGTTTTCAACCCAAGAAAAAATTGGAGGCAAGCTTCGTATTCTTCAGTGTTTGAGCCAAAAAAATTTTTTTTTTTTTTTTTTTTTCAATAATTTCTAATAATTTTATTTTAATAAAAAATTAAAATCAAAAGGAGTAAAATAATCGGAATACATTGTTTGAAAATTTGTGTGCTAACTTTGATAAATATTTGATTGCATATGGAATGGATGCCTTAGTGATACAATAATTTATATCAGATGAAAAGAATTATTTGTAGAAGTTATAGCCTTAGGTGTTATTTGATAAAATTCAAAATTAAGTATTGAAATTTCAAGTGCTGAATTTTAAGTGTTAAAATTTGAAGTGTTTGAATGTATTAATCTAAAAATTTGTTTGATATTGTATTAATTTTTAGAGCTAAATTCATTAAGATTGTTTAATAAATACAAAAGTTGAAATCTAAATGTTATATATATTAATACATTTTTGCCTCGAATGTCTTCTACATATTATATAATACATATATAAATTAATAAATTTTATTTAAAAAGTATATTAATTTAACAATGAATATTAATATCAAAACTAATCATAAAAATTTTAAAATCAAAATACAAAATAAATAACTTATGAAAATGAAATATTTATGAAAACAACCAATTAAAGCTTATAATTATCCCTATATGAAATAGAAGTGGCAAGCGAATAACTACTCAATTAAAGCTTAAAATTATCCATATATAAAGAATCAGTTGCAGTAGATCGAGTCACAAACTAAGGGGGTTTGCGGGCCATGCCTTCCATCAATCATTGGGCCCATTTTTTAAAAACTGAATTTGATCCACCCTCTACGAAAGTCTCTGGCTCATTTAAATGGGGCACATGTGCCCTGCCCTGCCCATTCTGGTAAAAATTAACTCTCACACACGCACTACACGTTTTTATTCCTTCACAAAGATGCTTAGACTCTGATCTGCTCATATGTAAACAGTAAACTCCCTTACAGTTCAGCATTGTGAATTTACAAATACGCCCTTAAATTTGTGACATTCATCCAACGAGGTATGAAGGTTGGTCAATCAATAAAAAGGACAGAAGACCACATCCCTTAAAATTACTCGTCATTTCATCCGTTTTCTCCCTACTGCAATGAAAATCTCTCGCATATACACCACAAATTAAATTTATTTATTTATTTTTATTTTTATTAGCAAGAAACATAAACACGACTTTCAGAGACATGAATAGTTACAGTTAGAGGCACAAAATATCAATATTATCCTAAATCAAAATCATTAATATGTACTCACAATTTTATCATACAATTTCTTTTGGCTACTTATATTAGAGCTCCAACAAAGCGCTATACTCTTCTTGTCTTTTAAAATAAAATTACAAAAAAAAAATCCTCAAACTCATAATACAAAGCTTACATTCTAAATACCATAATCATTCTTTCCTATTATGGTTTGGAGTTCTTCCTCAATTTTAATTCCTTATTTACTCTCACTTAAGTTTCTTAATTTCTCACTCACATTTTTTGTGTACTACAAATCACTGACCCATACGGATGAATTTTACCATATACCAAGTTTATCACATTACATAAATAAATAAAATAAAATAAAATAAAATAAAATTTCGTACCGTCACAAACGCAACACTACTACTAACTTCGAAGTTTGATTGATTCTGTATATTACTTTTATTTTATTTTTATTTATTATTATTTTTGGTCATGAAAGAAGTATGAGAAGAGATAGGGAAGTTGGAAACCAATGCAACGCCAAACCAGTACATGGGAAGACGGGGAACGAGAGACCAATTCGTGAATCAGGACAAAAAGGGCAGAGCACACCCCAAACCAACCACCAGTTAAATGGGATACGAGAAATTGTCATACAAAAAATATGACAATGTGTTATAAGAGCATTTTGCATATCAAAGTTATATTTTAAGAGGAGTTACAGTATCAAAATGTTATATTTTAACAATTCTGTTTTAATGGTACATTTCATTCAAAATGTTATTTTTTGATACGATAACCATTCTTTTTCAACTACTATTCCCAACTATTATTGTCAAATCCCCGTATTACAACAAAACACAATAAATTTCGATTCAGTTAAACAATTATCAACAGACACCAAATTTTGAAGAAGCTGATGTAATCTTTCTAGATTAAAAACAGAGTGATAAACAATAAGAGTTATAATTTATAAGCAATAAACAATATTGAGAAAAATTCAAACACATGCAAAGCTAAACGGAAAATAGATTAGCTATTGTAGATCTCAATGTGTGTCTGTGAAAGAGAGAGAGAGAGAGAGAGAGACGCACTTGGAACCGCTAAACTTGGAGCCGATGCACTTGGAACTAGTGATGTGAGCGGCAAGGAAAGGGAGAGAGAATGACAACGAAAGGGAGAGAGAGAATGTAACGAAATGGAGAGAGATGAGATAGGATTGAGCGGAAATGGCACCATTATAGAAATAAAGAACTTGGCAAAAAAAAATTGACAGACACTATATTTGATAATACATTTGAGAATCTCAAAACAATGAGAGCCCATTGGAGAGTCTAATTTTTATTCGACTCCTATATTTTGAGTTTGAGAACCCATTTGAAAGGACATCAGAGATGCTACGAGGCATCTACTTTATGGCAATCCTATTTATGGATTAAAGATTAAACACCTTCTCTTATCAAAAAAACATTGTTAAATAATTTTCAAGCCCGCACCCTTGAGGGCTGATTAAAGCCGGGAGCACACTGATGGGAATACCAAGTAGTCCCACCCCGTATCTCATCTTCCATTACTGTGCTACCCTGTTCTGTTACGACTTCGCTCATTCTATGCTTCCAGCAGCTTTTCCAAGTAAATCGTTTTTTCAAGTCAATAAGAGTTCTTCGAGCTCCCTTCCTTGTTCGTCAATGAATTGCTACGGAATAGACTGTCTTGCCCCTCTGGTCGAAGATGGAGGTAAAGGGGTACAGTAAGTGGTCACCCAATTTTGGGGCATGGAATAAAAAAATAAAAAAGTTGATAAAGAAGAACAAAGGAAGAACATTCATAATTAATTTATTCTCAAATTGTGCTCTAGTTGCATGTGCTACCATTGTGGTCCTTTTTCTCAATCCGTCAATTATTGTGAAATCCAACGTAATAATTTGGGGGAGTAAAGAAAATATCATTAATGTTGTATCAAGTACCAGTAAATTCACAAATAATACCTCAATAGGGGCATAATATAGCCTGATTGAGAAGTGAAGGATGTGAGAATAAAGATAAAAATTACAATTCATCAGGACTCCCCTAACATTAATAAAGTAGGGTAATAATGGCAATTAAAAATGTAAGAATTAATGACTTTAGGTATTGGGATTTTTTTGTAATTTTATTTATAAAAAAAAAAAAAAAAAAAAAAAGCACTAGAGAATATTGGTAGAGCGCCAATAGCAGCCTTTCTTTTTTTCCATTTTATTGAAATTATTTTACAGTATAAATGCTTATGAGTTATGGTTTGTCCATTATTCATTGAATTTTGTAGGCAGTGTAAAAGTATTTGTTATTTGCCAAAAAAAATTTTTTTTTTTTTTTTTCTTTTTGGGTAAGTTAATGTATTCAATAAAAAGGAGAGAAATTGTACACAAATGGGTTAGAAGGCGGATCCAGAAATTGCCAATAGTTAATAAATGTATTTTTGAACTGGTCTAAAATTGATAATAGTTCTATCAATAGAATTTTGTTTGGGGTGGGTTCAAGCCCACCAAAGCCCATCCTTGAAACTGCCCTCCTAGAGCCCAAACCAAATAAACAGACAAAAACATTTGAATATATCTCCTTTGAAGGGCACCCAATTCCAATTCCAAGCCGTTTATCTCCTTTGAATATGAATATACTTATCAGCTACACGTACTCTTTCAAGGAAACATTTGAATTCACTTTGAGGATCCAACCTCGTAATCAACTTTTCCGATCAATCATATGATTCTTCGGATAAATATTTTTATTTATATTTTTAACTGTATTACAGCGAAAAGTAACCATGTGAATATATATGTGACTATATATCCTTATTCCTTCAAGCATACACTAATAATACAATAAGTTATACAACATAGCAACATACAAAAAATGGAGATTTTAATTTAGAACCTTATCTCAGCATTAATAGCCCAACAAGCTTCAAAAACCATCCTCCATCTTACAGCTCTAAAAATTTGAAGAGGCCTTATAGTCCCCACAGACACACACAAACATTTTAGATTCGTGAAATTCAGATGTCTAAAAATTTAGACTTATGCCAATAAACCATGGGATGGATCAAGCATCTGGTGGATACTGAAACATGTTAAATGACGAATTATAAATGCTAAAACCTCCATCGATGAAGAGGTTGTGACCACTCACATATTTAGCCTCATCACTTGCTAGATAAAGGGCTGCATTAGCCACATCTTCTGCCTTCAGATGCACGCCCTTGAGGTTGGCAAGCGCACTCATTGCATTCTCAAGATCCTCATCACCAAGGCCGACAAATTTGGTAGCCAAAGGCGTTGCAAGCGCGTAGGGTGATAAGCAATTAACCCTAATCCCAAATTGTCCCAGCTCAATTGCCAAGTTCTTTGTAAGGCCTAGTATTGCGTGTTTTGAGCAACAATAAGCGTGTGACGCTGCACCACCAACATTTGAGCTTATGCTAGAAGTTGAAATTATGGTGCCACTTCTGGCCGGTACCATAACCCGAGCTGCATGTTTCATGCCCAGGAAAACACCGGTGACATTGACACTAAGCACGCGCTCGAAGTCCTCCTTCGTGTTGTCTATGACACGGGCCTTGTTCGGGTCTGATATTCCGGCATTGTTGAACATGATGTCCAGTTTTCCATAGGTATCAACTGCTGCGTCTACAGCATTTTTGATATCCTCCTCATTAGTAACATCACAGTGGATGTAGGTACAATTTGATGGGCCTAGGGCCTCGCGGACCGAGTGGCCCAGTTCGTCTTGGATATCGGCTATCACAACTTTGGCTCCATGCTCTGTGAACACTTTTGCCGTGCATTTGCCAATGCCGCTGGCTCCTCCGGTAATCAGTGCCACCTTGCCCTCTAGCCTATACATATTAACATGGAGAGACAAGGGTGTTAGATTGATAATTCAAAATTTTATACTTTAAGGCCCCGTATGTTTCGAAGTAAACTATTCTTTTTAGAAAATATATATTTTGTTTTAGGAAAAATATATAGCTATTTGGCAAAGGTCTATATCGAGGTTGAGATGGAGTCCATCGAGCGGGACATGTAAAATAACTTGCCAAAAATTGACGAATAAGTTATTTTTATTAAATTTTAATATTTTTTTTCTTCGTAAATATTTTACGACAACCAAACACCAGAAAATAAAAAATAATTTTTTGAAAAATATTTTACGTCCAAACAAACGGAAACATAATTATGTGTGCTTTTGATAAAACTGTGAAAATTAAGTATTGAAAATTTTAAAAATTAAATTTTAAGTATTAAAGTTTTTAAGTGATAATTAAATATAAATAAAAAAATTCAGTGTTCAACATTCAATAATAAGTAATAATGTCTCTATTACTTAAAATTTTAACTCATTTTAATTAATATATTCAAACATAACTCTGAATTGAGTAATCCATAAAGATAATTAAGTCCTATTAAATTTCAACGGGATAAAGAAATTCTACTTTTAAAATTTATTTCCGATAAAGGTCTATAAAAATTAAAATACCTCTTTTAGCCTTCTTCATTCATCACTGTAACTCATACATTTTCCTTGCATTGATAAACACTCCGTGGTGTTTTAATTGTTTACAAGGCATAGGAAAGCTGCTTCATCAAATTTAGGACCCTTTTATGAAATTGTCGAGCTCAAACTAGTACCGGTGGTAAACGACATGCAAAACCATCCAAATTTCAAAAAATTCATCTATTTTGGTCCACTACATTTATCTATTTTGCTTCAATTAAAGTAGGATTTCTCAATTTTTCCTTGGTTAGTTATGTGATTCAGATGCTAAATTGGTAATTATTATTTTCATTCTTAGATGCAACAAAAAAATCAGTTGAATCAATATTACAACACATTCAATTTTTTAGATTTATGTTCACAAATACTAATCGCCCTTTTGCATAATTTTTTGTTTGTTTGTTTGTTTTTATTGAAATCATGCTATTATTATGTTTGCAAGACAACCTTCATATATACATACATTTTTTTTCTTCGTTTTCTTTTTGTGTGTGTGGCTGATTCTAGGGGTGTCCAAATTTGTTTATGTTAGAAAGATTAAAGGATAATAATATGAAAGAGGATTCTAGCTTTTCTGTGCTTTAGTTTTTGTTTTATGATATTAGCAGGAGAAAATATATATATATATATATATATATATTGAATCTGAGGGTAAAAGTAAATAAAAAAAAAAATTCATTACTACTTTAGTAAAAATTTTATAAGACTTGTTTGTCTTCAAATTGTAAAAATAGAACTAAGTTATAATTTATTCAATTTTAAGATGGTGGACTTAAGGATAAGCCGTCCAATATTAAACAAGTCCAACAAGTAAGACCAGTAGCAAAAAGATCCAACAGGCCTGTGAGGCTCCTACTTTCCGAAGAAAGATTAAGGGTTCGAACCTCAGTGGAGACAGTGTGTGTGAGTCCCAATTAGAAAGAAAAAATAATAATAATAATAAATAAATTTGCTAATTGCAATCCTTACAAGAACCGAATTAGCCACCGCTGAGTCTTCCGCGGACTGACTGAACTATTGAAAATTTATATATATAAATAATAAAAATTATTTTATGATCTTATACATTACGTTTTTATAAAATAATATTGCAATGTAATTATTGATACTTGATAGATTGGGTTATACTTTCCAATTTTGTGGTCTAATTGAGAGTATAGTTTTATAACGTTGGATTGTGATTTTCCAACTTATTTGGTATGGTTTAATTTTAACCATTAATATCTAAATTTTCATGATAGGAAGGGAGGCTTAGGTATGCTTGTTTATAGAGAAGTCGTCCTCATGTTAGTGTTATATATAAGGGTTTTAAAAACCTTATTCAGACTTATCGTATCGACAACTCTCAGAATGAGATAAAACACTCTAATTTTTCAGATCTCTTAAAGGGTACTAAGGAATTCTAAAAGGATCTAAAGTTTAATCTTTTAATCAAGTATGATATCAAAAATTTCTCTTTAATTCATAATTAATTTTGATATCTACATATTATTTATTTGATTAAAACTTAATAACTGGTATCCGAGCCAAGATAGGGTCTGTAAAAATCAAAAATTGTAAAGATTAATTTATGATCTACTATGGAAATATTTGAAATCCCACTGATTGCCTAAATTTTTTTTTTTCTTTACTCTGTCTTTGTGTCCTAAGATGTAAGGCTGAAAATTGTGTGTGTTTGTACTTGATTTATATATATATATATATATATATATATATATATATATAAGCATATAAGGTTTTGTTTAAAAATGATATCATATAATCAGCACGCCGAACGAGAAAGAAAAGAAAAAAGGATTTAAGCATGACACAGTTTGTTATGTAATTGAAATCAGTATTAATTCTTCTTCATAAATGGGATTTGATTGAATATTTAATTAATTTTTAAATTATTTCATGGGAGGTAATAATTTTATGTATTGTATATTAATTGTTCACTGACCAGTTGATAGTAATCTCATCAGCATGGTGACGAAATTGCATAATCCCATGTGTGGTATAAATATAATTTTATTGGTACATGATAAGAATAATGTCACAAGTAATATAGGTTTGTGTATTCGCGTGTATATATATATATGGCTAATACACTCTGTTCGGAATAAAAAATTTCATTTCATATTTTATATTTTGAATTCACTGTCAATGTAAGTTCAAAGGGATGGAATGATATCATATCCTTTGAGAGATGTAAGGTTCAAAAGTTGTAATAATAATTATTGAATATTTGGGAGACTGTATATAAAATTGAGATGATTTGGTTTTGATATCATATTCTTGGGTTCATTATTTATGCCTCACTTGTGGAACCATTGAATAAATTATTTTTTAAGTTTATTTGATGTACATGGATGGTTATAAATAGTTATTTATTTATTTTTCAGTTAAATTTAATCCATGTTGATATGTTGTTCAAGAATTTGATTTGTATATGATTCTTGAATGAAATATTCTATTATGCATTAATATGAGAAATTGATCTTGAATTACGTGTATCAAAATGGAATGATTTGATTGTCCGGTGTATATTTTGTATGAATAAACTATTTGATGCAATATATACATGCACGAGTGACCTTTTTGGTTTAATGTAAAGTTACGCAGCAGTCGAGCCGTGTTCTATGTCCAATAATTTTATTGAGTAATTCATAATACTTGTTCAATTTTAAATTAAAAAACTTATAGGGGATTGCGTGCTATAAGTAAGTATTATTGATTTGATTAATTTAAAGATTCAAGTTTAATTGTTTAATTTTAGGTTGAAAAACTTATGGGACTTGTGTGTCATAAGTAAACAGTATTAACCTAATTGATTTAAAGATTCAATTACTTTAAATTGTTTATCGGATATATAATATATATGCATCAAGTTTTTTGTTATTTTATTTTAATTAAAGTATATAAAGAATTGAGATTTTAAATCTTGATTGATGTACATGTTATTATTATATTGTTCATTGTAATTTCTTAAGATGTATGAGGAGGCTTTATTTTATTTGTATTAAAGCCATTTATATTACAGTGAAATTAATCAAGTGTTCCATAATATTTGGGTTTAGTTTATGTGCATTATAAAGAAATTGTTGAACTTAATAAATGGAACTTTTGCAATTTAGGTTCTACCTTGGGGTTTAGGAAGACTGGTAATGTGACCGTTTCAAAGGTGGTAGCCAAAGTGGGTGATGCCTGCCAAAAGGTGACACGCTCACGGAGGTTATTATTTTTGGAATTTTAAAATATTAGTCTTATTGAGGTCTCACAGACTCACAGTGCACTTACCTACATGAGGGCATTAGTTCTGCCAAAAGGTGATCAATGTCTTAGTGTGGGATAAGTGAGTAGAATATTTGAGAGTACTTGAATAATATCTAAATAACCCTCTTGCCAAAAAATAGTGAAAGTGTTTAATAATAATTCAAATATAATCAAATAGGTCTATGTGCGATTTTATCACAGGTTTGGGGTAAAGTAAAATTTAAATTTCTGCCAAAAGGTGATTTTTTTATGGCATTTTATCTGTTCCCGCAGGGTGGACGATTTTTTCACACATAGTAAAACACCCTGAGAAATTCGGTTTAAAACTCCAAGCACGAATTAAAGTAATACTCCCTAAAACTGTAATATATTATTTTATATGTTGTTTATGTGGCGTTAATCAATATAATATTTATTCAGGTTACAGACGTTTCCGCAATTTAAAGATAGCTCATAGGGATTGAATCATTGAATGGTTAAAATTATATTACCTATAAGACAGTGTTTTGATATTATATTGGGTTTCTTGGATCTGTTTTTGTTTTTTTTTTTTCCTAAAGTGTGTTGCAATCCATAGTATCATTTTTATAAAACTTAAAGTGCATGGATCAAGTGGGAGATTGTTGGAAATTTTTATATATAAAATAATAAAAATTATTTTATGATCCTATACACTACATTTTCTAAAATAGGATTGCAATGTGATTATTGATACTTGATATATCGGGTTGTACTTTCTAATTTGGTGGTCTAATTGGGAGTATAGTTTTATAATGTTGGATTGTGGTTTTTCAACTTATTTGGTATGATTTAATTCTAACCATTAATATCTAAATTTCCATGATAGGAAGGGAGACTTAGGTATGTTTGTTTGTAAAGAAGTCCTCTCCCATATTGTTGTTATATAAGGGTTTTAAAACCCTTATTCAGACCTATCGTATCGACAACTCTCAAAAGGGGGTAAATCGCTCTAATTTTTTAGATATCTTAAAGGGCATTAAGGAATTCTCAAAGGTATTTAAAATTTAATTTTCTAATCAGGTATGATATCAAAAACCTCTCTTTAATTCATAATTAATTTTGATAGAGAAATGATACATCTGCCGACTTATTCGTCCGAGTTATCCTCCGAATCCTAGGTAGCCAGGCCAAGTCAGCAACAAAAAAACTCTGTTCTCTTTCTCTCTCTTTCATTCCCTCCCCACGATTCCCCTCTGTTTCTACCATCGCTGGCTTTCTCCACCGGTACAGGGAGATAGAGCATGAGAAAGAGATCAAATTCTAATCATCATCCAACCAAGAATTTCATCTCTGAGTTGCTTGGAGGCACCGCCGGAAAACTTCGCCGCATCAAATAACCGTTCCCGATGACAACATCGCACAACAAATCCGACCCAATTTTGCCTGATCCGAAGCTTTACAAACCAAGACCACAACGTCGATCCCAAGTGATCTCCTTTTCCTTTGTCATCGACTTCACGGGCCAAGCCGTCGCCAGATCGGAGCTCCATCTAGAAGAAGTTGATGGAGACTGATGATGGCCCGATCGAGTTCCTCCACCTTCTGCTCACTGCCATCGCCACCGCCGGGCTATTCGCTGCCGTCGCCTGGCCGAACCAGCCCGTCGCCCACCCGAGCCCATCCTCACCACCGTCCAAGCTGTCCATCTGAGCCGCCATAAGCTCGCCACTCCACGGCCGAGCCACCCCTCCTCGAGCGTGGCGGCTTACCCCCAAAAACTGAACCACTCGCCGGCGATCAACCCCAAACTGGTTTTTCCGGCGAAGAGCTCTCACCGATCTCACGCACTCTTCGACTTGGTTCTTCCGAGTTTGAGACCGTCACAGCCAGACCATCTCCACCTCAGCGTGCATAAGCTGCAGTTGCCAAAGCTGGATCTGTCTCGCCGGCCACCGAACCATTCCGCCTAGCTTGAGAGGGGAATTGTGGAGAGAGAAAGAGCTGTGATTTTTTTGTATCGCCGGCGAAGCATCCCGCCTGGCTTGAGATGAGAGCTTGAGAGGGGAATCGTGGAGAGAGAAAGGGCTGTGATTTTTTTTGTTTGACGTGGCCTGGCCACCTAGGATTCGGAGGATAAATCGGAGGATTAGGTTGGCAAATGTATCATTTTTCATTTTGATATCTACATGTTATTTATTTGATTAAAACCCAACATGAGCCACCCTGTTATACAATATGACGGGTTGGGTATTTACGACATTTATTTGCCTGTTATTGTGTGTGCTTAATGTGCAACATGTTGTGAGTTGTGACTTAATTCTATTTAACATCAACATTAAAACAAACTAAATCCAAAAAAAAACAAAAAACACTTAAAGTTGATTTCATATTTCTTTGACCCAAAGGAAAAACCTTAAAGCATTAGATAGAAAAATAAATAAATAAATAAAAATAAAAATTACTCAATATATGTGTGTGCCTGTGTCTATCCTATAATCGTGTTGAAACAAAAAGAAGCACCATATATATATATATACCCAGCTAGGATTCTCTTACATATAATAACACATAATTACTTAAATAAATAAATAAAAAACAATCGGAGAAAGACAAGTGATTTCTAAGTATCATATAACACATATTTAATTAAATAAAGCGAAATTAATCAGAGAAAGAGAAGTGATTTCTAAGTATCATTAGAGGCTTAAATTGGTAAGTTCTACTAACCTCCTTGCGACTCCAGAGAGAACTGAAGTGCCTGCCATTTGCTCAGAGAGAGAGAGAGAGAGGGGTAGGATTGGGATGCAGAGCCCGTGACCACACAGACTTCATCGGCCAAGACTGTCTATTTATTTAAACCTCAGTGGGGACAATAATCAATTTTAAATATATCGACCTCCTACATTCTTGTTCCCCTCATTGGACTGTTACCGTTGGATTGCCTTTATCATATTATAAAATATAATCAATTTTAAACATCAATACGTTTTTAAACTTACTAGTGAATTATTTTATTTTTTGTTTTTCAGAAAGAAACAAAACAAACTTATACCACCAAGAGTAAAAGGCAGAAAGGCATCAATTTTTTTAGATCCGTGGATTCCTATTTAATAAACTGATTTTCATCTAGCAATTTTGTTTAGTAGAAGGTAAATTTAAGTACCCTCTCATTTCAAGGCCTTCCATGAGCAAATAATCAATTTATAAAAGTGAAAGGCCAAGAACAATTCCTTTTTGATCAAAAAACCAATAACCATATATAAGGTGCAAGTTTAACTAGTTTTGTTAATTAGGCATCTATATATATATATATATATATATATATATACATATATTTGTATGGTCTAACTTATTAAGGACTTGTTTTGTTACGTTTTCTGATAATAATTATTTGTTTTCAAATAAATAAAAATTAAAATATTATACAAAAGCTTGTTTGATTGACTGTTTCTAAAAATTATTTTTTAAAAATTCAATTAAAAAAATACTTATTTTCAAGATAACTAACATTTTTTCTAAAAATAATCTTCAATTTTTTATAATTTTTGTGAACTTTATTTTTTAAGTGACAAATTAAACAATTTCTAAAATGATCAAATAATTTTTATTTTTATTTTTGATGAGTTGTGTATTTTGATTTAATTGGTAAGTGACCAACGCATGTGCAAGTCAAATTCCCTTTCAAAAAGTTGTTTCTAGACAAGTTCTATGAAAAATGATAAACACAATACAACATATAACAAACTCTTCTGAAATTGAATTGCATAACACAATTCTTGATAGGATAAAGTACCCAAAAAAAAATCATTATATACCGAACGTGTAAATACTTTAATACATTTTTCAAATTGATCAAATAATAATAATTTGTCAAATTGAAGAATAAAACACCTAAAAATGTCTTTAAGACAAAATAAAAATAAAAATAAAAACAAATAAATTGTGTAAAACACCCTATACGGTTACATATAACACCATATAATATCAGTTGTGTAAATGTGCATCTAAGTCCAACACATTTGAAAATTTGGTACAATTGACCACTTCCTGGCTTAACAATCTGAAATGTTAAATGCCCAAAATGCCCTTTTCTTGTTCCCAAAGTGTCCTTCCCCTCATTATATACAAACATAAAATGGTGAGGTGGGCCGCAAATGGTGGTGTAAGGAGGAAGAAGAGGGTAGGTGTGTCGAGGAGGAAGGTCCATGTATTTTTTTTCATAACAAGGTTATTTTAGTTATTTAAATAGTTCCGTTAATGGCAGCGGGACGGAATTGACCTATTTGAACCAAATCATTAATGGAGGTAGTGTTTATACACCAACAGGAATATCATGCGCACTATATATGTGCCCGGTGAAAAAATCAACCCAGTACAAATATTCGCTCCATTTGATCTGGTCCATATATGCCTCCCTATTTTGAACCAAATTATTTTATTTTTTCCTACATTTTTTATATAGGAGTTTTTATTTTTTCACTTTATCCTTCTTGAATATTGAGAATAGTAAAACATAAAAAAATAATAATAATAAAAATAAAGTCAAAAAAATATGTTTAATTTTTTACAACTCTTTTTTGTCGGTAATTACTAATTTTTTTTTTTTTTTTTTTTTTACAACTTTGATAAAATAAAAACTATTTTTGAAAATTCAACAACACATATTACTTTATGAGAAACTACACTCCAACGAAAATGTTTAAAGCAACAATGACTGGGAGGTCTTTTTTTCATCATCCAAAGGGTCGCATCCACACTCTTCTCACTCAGCACACAAGCGTGGATTGCGACTATATGAGAGCAAAAACTGCATAAACTTTTAGATCGTTAATTTAGCAATTTTTAGAAAGGAATAGAAAATAAGATATATATATATAGGATAGACACAATAGGTCAGCATTTGTCATTCATTGTTGCCTTCTAAGTTTAGGTTAACTAAACGACGAATGTTGAAATCTAAGAGAACCCTTATATATTTAACAACGACAAAATTAATGAAAATGATAGAAAACAAATATATTTACATGAAACAGAAACATTGGATTAGACCAAATATTGGATTCAGCAAACCAAACTATTAGAATTCATATAACGATAATATATATATATAAAATATCGTTCAACCTTACCAACTTACATGTGGTACTTTTTTTGTTTTTTAATCCTTTTATACTGCTAATAGTAAGAATAATATGATTTCTCCTACTCAATTCCACACACGAATATGATCTTGTTAATCCGGCACGAATCTTCAACTTATTTTTATGGTTTAACTATAAAAATCAAATCCTAAAGCTCTTTCCAAATGTCATAACAAAAAATTCACCTGTTTTGAAAAATTGTTCTGCCTCATAAGAGAAGTAGGATTGCAAATAAATTGAGTTATTCATAAATGGTTTAGACTTCACTCGTTTAAGAATCAACTCATACTGGTTTATAAACAAATAAACCGAGCTCAAATTTGATTTTTAGGTCGTTTTATAAACGGACCAATCTTAAATAATATTAAGTTGGCTCGTATACCTTCAATAGGATAAATTTGTGTAAGACTTATAAACACATCATAAACATAAGCTCATAAACGAGTTCATAATCATAAACTCGTGTAGATTTATATCAGTTCGTGAAAAAACCAAAATAGTCTTGGGTACAAATCCAAATTGATAATAGTAGTTAACATATAAAAAAACGAGGGCCATGAACCTAAGGAAAAAGGACAAATGAGAATCGTAATTTGGAGACGGAATTTCCAAATGGGAATCAAAGGCAATGTCTGTGTGCCCCACGTAATCCGTATAATTTATTCTACGATGATACACCCAAGAACGTGTAAACCAAGCTATAGCTTGGATTTAAGTGCCCGTGCTCCGCCTTCCTCAGAAAAGTAAGTTCTGTAAACGAATAACAATAATATAAAAACAACTTCAATGTTGATGGCCGGCTCATTATTAATTGTTTTAATTGAAAATTTAGTATAAAATGCCTAGAATGCTTGCTTTAATTACCTAAATATTTTTTTAATAAAACTCCGTATATAATATATAGAAATAATTTTTTCTTAGGTGAATACAAAATTAATCCATACCATGCATTGTAATCGTTGGACGTAATTGTTATATTATTTTGGTAACTATATTTTTAATATTTAATGGTTATTATGTATGGTGCAGATGAATTTCTTACCCACCAATAAAAAAAAGACAAAGACGGAGGCAATTAAGGACTGGGGGTACGTGCCCCCTAGATTTTCTCCCTCTCTTATATTATATATATATTTTATAATAATATATATATTTTTTATGAAAATATGGAAAGTATCCTTATGAATTTTCTCATTCTTCATAGAATTATATATGTGTTTCGTATTTTTTTCTCCAAAATTATTTCCTCTCTTGAAATTTTTTTCTGACTCTGTCCCTGGAAAGAGATCATTATTCTTTCGAATTTAAGCATAACTGACAGCAAGATTGTTGATACATCACTTGAGCACAACACAAGACTTAATCTACATGATGGTGAATCTCTTCGAGATGGTACATTGTATCGATAGCTGGTTGGTAGTCTGGTTTATCTAACTATCACCCGTCCAGACATCTCCCATGCCGTCCACATAGTTAGTCAGTTCATGGCTGCTTCTAGATTTACTCATTTTGCTACAGTTCTTCGCACATTTCACTATATTAAAGGTACTATGTTTTATGGGCTTTACTTTTCTTCTTAGTCGTCACTTGTTCTTAAGATGTCGACTGGGTAGGAGATCCTACAAATTGTCGTTCCACCACAGGCTATTGTGATTCACTTATCTCTTGACGCAATAAGAAACAAACCGTGGTTGCTCAATCTAGCACAGAAGTTGAATACAGGGCAGTTGTTGTTATTACGTCTAAGCTTATGTGGTTACGTTGGTTCCTTCAGGACATGTGAGTTTTTTCATCCATTATCACTCCTATCTATTGTGATAATAGAAGTGCAATTCAAATTGTGCGCAATGATGTTTTTCACGACTGTACCAAACATGTTGAGATCGTTTGCCATTTTGTTCATCATCATCTTCTTCAGAAGACCTTACAGTTACGATCCATTACTTCCCATGATCAAATAATAGATGTCTTCACCAAATCGCTTCCACCAGGCTGTTTCAAAGATCTTGCTTCAAAATTCAATATGACTTTATATAACCCGGCTTAAATTTGAAGGGGCTGTTAAAATATATTGTATAGGATTACCATATATATAATTACCATATATATATAAAGTTCAGTTGTTCATCACACATAATCCCTCCTATACAAACTTTTCTTATATATCATCTCAGAATACAGAGTTATAATCTCTCTTTTATTTATAACATTCAGAAAGAAACAAAACAAACTTATACCACCAAGAGTAAAAGGCATAGAAGGCATCAATTTTTTTAGATCCGTGGATACCTATTTAATAAATTGATTTTCATCAAGCAATTTTGTTTTGTAGAAGGTAAATTAAGTTTCGTCTCATTTGAAAAGTCTTTCATGAGCAAACAGGTCCCCCCCCCCCCCCCCCGGTGGCCGGATTTTCTTCCCCTCTTATATTTTATACATACTTTTATTATAATATATATGTTTTTCATAAAAATATAGAAAGTGTCCCGCCTGAATTTTCTCTTTCCCTTATAATATTCTATATATATATATTTTTCCCTCTTAAATTGTTTCCGTAATCCTTATATTTGATATCTATAATTAGTTTAATCCAAAAAATATCACTCTTTCTCTTTCTCTCTCTATATATATACACTCATAAACATTAATTTATATGCATGGACATTATATTATATATATATTAGGGTGAACTACATTAAACCTCCATTTTCTATCTGTGTTTTTCACTAAACCCCCATTTTCTATTTTTTTTGTCAATAAACCCCCCTCAACTATTCGAGAGGGGGTGATTTAACTAACAGAAGTTAGCTAAAAGGGAACTGTTTGGACATTTAGTTTCTCATATATTTTTTAGAGAAAAATGTCCTTATACCTATTTTAATATACCCTCACATATATATCTACTCCATTATCACTCTTAGCCGCATATCTTCCACCATTGCAACAACACGTACTCTTCCATCATTATAATATAATATATAATTTGTATCATAATATAATGGTATATATAATATGTAACATTAAATATTATTTATAATATATTTTCATTTCCATCCATCCTTCAGATCAGTATAAATTTAGGTTTTTTTTTAAAAATTTATCTGCTATATATATATATATATATATATATATATTTGAGAATTATATTGTGCATTCATTTATTTGGTTTTTATTGATTTTCATTTTATATAGATTTATTAAAGGGACACTACTAGAAATAATGCCTAATCTTTTTCCTTTTTTATATTAATATTTATGCCTACATGTTTTCTTCTTCTTCTTTTTATTTTTTATATTTCAATATCATTTTTTTCTATAAAAAAAAAATAAATAAATAAAATAAAAAAACTCCTTCCATGTGACTAATGTGAACTTGTCAGTCTAATAAAATGTTAAAATAAAAAAAAATAATAGAAGTGCTAATTTCTGTGAATGATGTCGTTTAGGTTATTTAATAAATAAAAAAATAAGAAGCAAAGTAGATTTTTAAATAGGCTTTAATAGGTATTTAAGTCAATTTATATTTGAGTTCTCTTTCAACTAACTTCCATTAGTTAAATCACCCCCCTTGAATAGTTAAGGGGGGTTTTTTGAAAAAAAAAAATAGAAAATGAGAGTTTAGTAAAAAACACAAATAGAAAAGGAGAGTTTGATGTAGTTCACCCTATATATTATGGTGTACAAAATTACAATGTGCCCCTCCTAAACAAATTTTCTGGCTCCGTCCCTGTAAGCAAATAATGAATTTATAAAAGTGGAAGGCTAAGAACCATTCCTTTGATCAAACAACCAATAACCAAGTGTTTCATATATAAGGTGCAAGTTAAACTAGTTTTGTTAATTAGGCATATATATATATATATATATATATATATATTTGTCTGGTCTAACTTATTAAGGACTTGTTTGGTTCTGTTTTCTGATAATAATTTTTTATTTTCAGATAAATAAAAATTAGAACATTATACAAAAGCTTGTTTGATTGACTGTTTCTAAAAATTATTTTTTAAAAACACAGTTAAAGAAATACTTATTTTCAAGATAACTAACATTTCTCTACAAAAAAAACTTCAATTTTTTAAATTTTTGTGAACTTTATTTTTTAAGTGACAAATTAAACAATTTCTAACCTTGTATACAATTTTTTTTTTTTAATTTTTGATGAGGTGTGTATTTTGATTTAATCGGTGAGTGACCATTTCAACGCATGTGTGAGTCAAATACCCTTTCATTTTGTCTATTAGTTGGGAGACGAAAAAAAAAAAAAAAACAGAGGCACTCTTCCAAAAAATAATAGTAGTACGTAACATATAGTAAAAAACGAGAGCTATGAACCTATGAAAAAAAGAAAAAAAAAACAAAAGAAAAAAGGAAGAGAGTTGTAATTTGGAGACGGAATTTCGAAATGGGAGTCAAAGGCAATGGTTGTGGGCCACGTAATCCGTATATTAATTCAACAATGATACACCCAAGAATGAGTCTCTGTGTAAAAACAAAATCTGCAGAATTTAGTTGACAAAACTTGTGGTTTATATTAGTATCTGGTTGATAACGGTCATTGCATGGTGATATACACGTGATATGATCTTAAATTGTGAAAGACGCAAAGATTGGTATGTTTAACAGATCAAATCGCTTTCATATTAATTAATATGCAATAGAGAAATTGATCATTACATCTGAGAGTTTCATCCACAGATTGAAGCATTGGGCACAAGCAGGCCCAACATGCATTAACTCGTATATGGATTCAAATATATCCATGAATTGATCAGCTTAAATAGAATATAGCTTGGATTTAAGTGCCTGTGCTCTACCTTCCTAAAAGTAAGTACTCTAAACAATAACAATAATATAAAAACAACTTTAAAGTTGATGGCCCGCTCATTATTATTAATTGTTTTAATTGAAAATTTAGTATAAAATGCCTAGAATGCTTGCTTTAATTACCTAAATATTTTTTAATAATACTCCGTATATAATATACAGAAATAAAATTTTCTTAGGTGTGTAAGAAATTTATTCACACCGTGCATTGTAATCGTTAGACGTGATTTCTATGTTATTTTGGTAACTATATTTTTAATATTTAATGATTATTATGTATGGTGCGGATCAATTTTTTACTCATCGATGAAAAAGTGATCATTACTCTTTCTGTGCGTGTCACTCTTTGCGTTTGTGTGTGTCTGGTCAACTTTACAAATACCTGTGACAAATTTTTTTTTACCGGGAAAAATTGAAGCAATTTGTATAGGTAAAAAAAATAAATAAATGTATGTGAATTGGGCTATAGAGCCAAAAAACCCAGGCAGCCCAACAAGGGCAAACAAAAGAACTAAGACAAGGTTAAGCTAAAACCCAGTTAGCCCAACTACAAGGTAGCATTTATACCTTTCATTTATGTAGTACAAGTTATTTATTTGTCTACCATTTTTCTGTTGGTAGTTGAAGTAGATATCTTTTTCTATCTTGATGTTGAAACTAAATTGCAATTATATTTCATTAATTTCTATTTAATTGGCAACAGGAATAAATTAAATTTGAAATTAATTGCTCCAATTAATTCCATCAATTCTTTTTACCAAATACCTGATATTTGCTCTAGTGGAAAAAAAATTAGGTTTTAATGTAGAAAGAGAATGCAAAAGTTATTGAAGATAACAAAAAGAAATTTGAAGAATAAGAAGGAAAATAAATAAATAATTAAAGATATTTTTAGAAATAGATAATTTTATAGGGAATAAATTAAAAATTTTATGAGGGTATTTAATAAATATTTACAAATTATACCCATAAAATAAAATAAATTTAGTGGATTGAAGGGCGCACTGGCAGAGGAGCCATTTTATTAATTTTAGGAGGAGCATTTTATCAATTCCTACAAATTTATGTTTAAATAAAAAAAAAACTTCTTGTGGACCAATAGGGACCAGTGCACCCAGGAACATGCTGGCTCCGCTCTATATATATATATATGTATATAGTATAGTATTTATGTGCACAAGAGATGTAATATTTGGGTCTAATTATTTGACACATCACTTTTGATTTGTCATCTTTATTAGGAAGTGAATGATTCATATCTTTTTATTAATTTACATGCATGACTAATTAAAATTTGTGGATCAAACAAATCAGTTGAAGTAATGGACCTAAAATTAAATTTTATTTCCATAAATATCATTGGTTAAATTATACGGTTATACCTGTCATGATGATTGATCGAATAGTGCTTTCTCAATTTTTATTCTTGTACGTACTAATTTGAGTATTAATTCGCAACCAAACAAACATCACATATGAACCTGAGATCTAGATGAAGTGAAAAATAAAAGTAAAGGGTTTACTGATCAGAGGAGTTAGAAAATGACCTAAGTTGGTCCCCACAGGTGACACAAATCACTCATAGTGGCCAAACAATGAACATGGGGCCATATGCATAAAACAGAAAGAGCTGAAGAACCCTAGGTGTCTCCCACTATTATTTTAAATCTGTCTTGGTTTTTGCTCCTTTTCAACTCAACCTTTTGTAAGATTGGTCAATTTTCCATGATGAGTTATATAATATACTCTTCATAAAATGTGACATTAATTTACTAATTAAGTTAAAAGTTCTATTAATTAATCCAGCATTATTGAGTTTAAAAAATATCAAATTTTGGACATGAATCCATATGCTTCGCAAAATCAATGAGATAATAAATATTGAAAATCGAAATTTCAATTGGTTTTTGTTACTGTGACAATTAATTGAAGTAAACGGGGATCAGAAAATTCTATTCTTATTCGTTACGAATAAAAATCTAATAATATTTATTAGAGTCACACAAAAAATCAGGAATTATTTGTTAATGAAGTTGATGGGACAGCATTCTAATAATCAATAGATATTTATTAACTTTTTTGTAATCCACCTAGCTTCCAGCCAAAGGGTCAACAAGGCAACAACGAAAATTTCCAACTTTAGCTAACAACCCAGCCCCCTCTCTGGCTCATTCTATGGAAGTCGTAGATTTCGAGAGATTCCCATCTCTCACATATATGGACAAAGTAGAAGAATAGTGACTCTGCCTCGATCTCTCACTTTTCATCTTCTATGCTCTGCTCTGCTCTGCACAGAACCCATTCATGAAGATGATGATGCCTATTAGATTCATTTTCCTGTGGTATATACTCTTCTTTCCCTTCCTTTCCTCCCTCTCATTTGCAAAATTCACTCCTAGATTCCCTTATTCCTTCATTAGGCCACAACAACAACAACAACAACAACAACTTCTTTCTCAGCTTTCCGCCGAAAACCAGCTCTACAAAACCAAATACTTCACCCAAATTCTTGATCACTTCAATTTTCAGCCACAGAGCTACCAGACGTTTCAGCAGAGATATTTGATCAATGACACGTACTGGGGCGGTGCTAAAACAAACGCTCCAATCTTCGTTTACACCGGAAACGAAGGAGACATTGAATGGTTCACTCAAAACACTGGCTTCATGTTCGAGCAAGCCCCTACTTTCAAGGCTCTTCTAGTTTTCATTGAGGTAGTATATACCTTAAATTTTATAACAAGGTTTATTTTTCTTGTCATTTTCCATCCCATAAATAATATGCCTTGAAACCAAATGGCCAATAATATTGCAGCATAGGTTCTATGGAAAATCCATTCCTTTTGGGGGTGACAAAGATATAGCTTACAAGAATGCAAGTACACTAGGATATCTGAGTTCTACGCAGGCATTGGCCGATTACGCCACACTGATCATTGATCTGAAGAAGAATTTGTCAGCAACTGACTCCCCCGTTGTGGTGTTTGGAGGTTCCTATGGAGGAAGTACGATTTCTATTTCTTTTTAATTTCATTAATTACTCTATTCTAAATTTAATTTTATTTTACTCATGGTTGGTGGTCATTTAAAATATGTATATATATATATATATAATAACTGGTCATTTAATTTAAATGGTTGGTTTTTGGTAGGAAATTTATGAAAAACAAATGCAGTAAGTGAATTTTTTTAATGTACTGTGCAGTGCTGGCCGCATGGTTTAGGTTGAAGTACCCTCATGTTACCATTGGAGCCTTGGCATCTTCTTCACCAATCCTCAATTTCGAGAACATTACATCTCCATATAGCTTCAACAACATCATCACTCAAGACTTTAGAGTCTCTCTCTTAAACTCTCTCTCTCTCTATTTATATATATACACACACACATAAATACATACATATTTTCAGTGCACTTTTTTCTTTATTTTTTCAACCTATAAAGACATTAGAGATGAGGTTTAGGATAAGGTTACACATATGGACAGAATTGTATACGCAATGATATATATAGTTTCTTTATGATTGTCCAGCTAGCTTTTAGAGATAAATAATTATTAATTTAACAATATTTGAGAAATGATTCCAAACTACATCTAATATAAATAGATTCAAGCACGTGCACTTCACTTTAATGCATAGTTACAGTATTACTAAAAATAATATAGTACATATTAAAACCGGGCATTTAATTATTATATTATTGTTTCCTTGCAAAAAAAAAAAAAAAAAAAACAAACAGAGTGAGAGTGAGAATTGTTATAAAGTGATCAAAGGGTCATGGCAACAAATTGAAGACACTGAGAATCAACCAGGAGGGTTTGAGGTACTCCGAAAATCATTTAGAATATGCAAGTAAGAACTTAACTCGCACTTATCGTTGCTAATCTTGCAAATTTAAATTTAATTTATCAGGAATCATTTGATATTAATGTTTATTTTTTATTTATTCACAGAAATAAAATTGATGCTGGATATCTAGCGGGTTGGCTTGGCACAGCATATACTTATACGGCGATGACGGATTATCCAACTCCTTCCAATTTTCTCAATCCCTTGCCAGCTTTTCCAATCAAACAAGTATTGTTTTTTGATTTTTTTTTGTGGTTGTCTTGGTTATTAAAATAATTCAAATACTATCATAGCCTCATAGGCTAATATTTTACATTTAGTAGCAATTGATTATTCTATTATAGAGAATAATTTATCAAAGGTTTGCCATTATTTATCTCAATAACAGAGCTTGTAAATTAATTTTCACCCTTCCTTTCTTTGATGGCTGTTTTAAGTCAACTGTATACATTGAGAGAGAGAAATGTTTACTTTTAACTTAATTGTTTTTATTTTTTTTCTAAATGCCTTAAATTCAAAAATTATTGTTTTCACTCTTTGTCCTTAAATATTATATCAGTTTAAGCTATGCAAGCATGAAAACTAATAATAATAATAATAATAATAAAAAGCTTTGAAGTTTTGACATATTTTGTAAATTGTGCAGATGTGCAAGGCAATTGACGATCCAATAACGGGAAATGACACATTCGCAAAGTTGTACGGTGCTGCCAACATATACTACAACACCACTGGTAATGCTACATGTTTTGATCTGTACGATAATTCGGATCCTCACGGCCTTAACGAATGGCAATGGCAGGTATGTACACAATATTCCTTGCTTTGTGTTAAATATATTCCAATATTCCTCTCTTTTTCTCTAATTTTTTTTTTTTTTTTTAAATTCAGGTGACTTATGTGCAAATTAACTTCAAAAATAAAGTAAAAAAGTTTAGCAAATGAAAAAACTTTCGCTATCACATTTTGAAAATTGAGAGATACTTTGGGCCATTTTCTAAAGTTATACATGTATATCACTTTCTTTTTTACTCACATTTCTTTTTCTTTTTTTGGTCCATTGACTTATGTGCAATTAACTTAAAAAATAAAGTAAAAAGTTAGCAAATGAAAAATCTTTCGCCGTCACATTTGGAAAATTGAGAGATACTTTGGGCCATTTTCTAAAATTATACATGTATGTCGGTGTTGGACTATGACGCCGGAAAAAAACCGACAAAAAGAAAAAGAAAAGTGAATAAAAAAATAAACATTCCATTCTATCTAAACACACACATCTTAGTGGTGCATTGGGCCAGCCCAAACTCTCAACCGAGATCTAGGTCCTCAGCTTTTGGGTCGAGTCGACCCCCCCAAATATATATACTCTTTTTGTCACAAAATAAATATCTATTTTTTTCTATTAATATTTTAAAATAGATGTATCATTTACAAAGTCAAAATAATATATGTGTATATATATATATATATTAATATTAATATTACTAACTTAATATTTTTTCATTAAACTTATATCCTTGTGACTCATTATGGATAATTTGATAATTGGTTTTAAAAAAATGATAATACTAAATCTTTACTAGTGAAGATTTATAACATACTGACTATTAATGTGGACCGATAATAAATGAACATACTATCTTTAATTACTAAATAAAAAATATTAAAACTCATTGAGAATTTTAGATAAATCACCTACCCCTTCCACTTCCCTGGCTTTTCACCAATGAAGAGCGGCATGTGGTGTAATTAAGAAGAGCATGTGCACAAAAGTATGGTCATTTAATTTGGATGATTATAAAATCATATCATTTCTTCTTATAATATCCTAATACATACTATATTATAAGAAATTAATCCTTTTTTCCACAGATTCAACTAAGCCCGGTTGCATGGAGTACCCTATTTTGTTATCCTCATCACTTAATTAACTAACGCCCTCTCGTCGAAAATAATATATCATTACTTTCTCTTTTTTTTTTTCTTTTTTTTTTTTTTCTTTTTTTGGTTCTTTTTAGTATCGAATCAACGGTTTGAATTTGGAATTAAAAGAAATTTAGTTCAAAATTTATGCTAAATTTCTTCCAATCCCAAATTTAAAGTGTTAATTCGGTACTCCCAAACACAATATTAAAATATATAGAGTAGAAATATTTAGGACTTATATGTTTGATTTGTAAATTTAGGGGAAAAAAAAAAAAAGAAAATGTAATTGTCCATATATATATATATATATATATATATATATATATAGGAATGACAACCGCATGTATTTTACGATAGACTATGAATGTTGTAATAGTGTTGATTAATCATTGTGGACCGAAAAAGTGAAAGAATTTTGAGATATATAACGTGATAGGAAGATTTGAAATGATGTAACAAACAATTTAATAGTATAGGTTATAAAATTAATTGGTGTAATATTATTGATTTGGAATTGTGGCAGGCTTGTACGGAGATGATAATGCCAACAGAAGGTAGCAACGAAGAGAGTATATTTCCAGCCTCGGAATGGAACTATAATGATCGAGCCCGGTATTGCAAAGCAGCCTACAACATTGAGCCCAGGCCCAACTGGATTACTACCGAGTTCGGTGGTCATGTGAGCAATCTATATAATGAATATATGAGACTGACCCGACCCGACCCTATTTAATTTGTGCGGCAATGATAATGCATGTATGACTTTAACTTTCAAAATTGGTCTGCATGTTTGGGGCAGGATATTGGGACCGTTCTAAAAAGGTTTGGCAGCAATATTATCTTCTTCAATGGTTTGAGAGACCCTTGGAGTGGTGGAGGGTAGGATTGACTCTCTCTCTCTCTCTCTCTCTCTCTCTCTCTCTCTCTCTCTCTCTATATATATATATATATATGTATATATCACAACTTCTTCTTGATTTATGGCAGGGTGCTAAAGAATATATCCAAAAGCATAGTGGCCATAGTTTCAAAAGAAGGTCAGCACACTAAATTATCTTTCAAATTTAAACTAGATGAAATAGAGCACAGCCAGGTTAATGCAGTGAATATACAAGACTTGGAACACAACCGATCAAGTCCCTCGACCATCCTATAAATTTTATTGGAAGCGCAAAATTGATATTTTGGAATTGAAATTGAAAAGAAAAAAAAAAATAAAAAAATCAGTTTAAATTTTGAACTAAATTTTTATTTTTTATTTCCAAATTCAAAAGGGTCGATCCAGTGCTTCAAAAAATAGCAAAAACTTATTTTCTATTGTATCATCTATTGTATGTTTTATGGTCATGTGCTAAGTGTTGTTTTCTCAACAGGGGCTCACCATGTAGACCTCAGGTTCTCAACAAGTGAAGATCCAGAGTGGCTTCGTGAAGTAAGGAGAAGTGAAGTCAATATTATAAAAAAGTGGCTCTCCCAATATTACCACAGCTTGTTCCATCCTTCTCACTAGAGTTATACACACTATTCTACTACCCTATCTGTCCTCCAAGTTGTTAACATTATTTGGCTTCGTTAGCCACAAAATAAAATCAATGGCTCTCTCTTACTTTCGCTTGATAAATAATTTTTTTTTTTTTTTTTTCGTAAAGGAGGGTCTTCTTTCAATACCTACAATTATCTGCAAACTATGAAAATTTATACATAACCAAAGAGCCATAATTTTCTATTCGAAAACCTAACTCCGAACAAGAGAGGGCAGCCTATTGAGCCCAAGTCAATGAAAACAATTTCGCATCGGGGTATACATAATAAAAAAGTCATGATTTTCTATTAGAAAACCCAACTTGGAACAAGAAAGTGTAGTCGATTGAGGCTAAGGTGCTATTTAATAAAACTGAAAATTTCAAGTACTTAATTTTAAGCGCTGAACGTATTAATTTGAAAACTTGTTTGATAACGTTTTAATTTTAAACATTGAACTCATTAAGATTGTTTATTATATATAAAAACTGAAATTTGAAAATTGTACATATTATAATTTTACCCTCAATATCTAATACTCATAATAATTTTATATTTATAATACAAAAATATTAATAAAACAACCATATGCACTCCATGAAATATATCAATTTAACAATGAATATTAATGTCAAATCTAATTACAAAAAAATATAAATTCAAACTTAAATACTTAATATTATCCAAGCAGTACTCATTAAAAATGTGAATGTCTCAAAAATGTTACATTAAACTAAACATATAAAATTTTAAACTCGAGAATTAAACAAGTCATTTGCAATTTGGTTACGCAAATTAACCATAAACACTTGATCGGATTGCCTTTCTGAGGTGTGAATTTTAGAGGATGTCAAATTTTCAGTAATATGAGGTGGAGTCTCAAATTGCAAATCCTCAATCTCATACTGTTCAAAAAGTTCATTCGTGATGATAATTCTTCGAAGGTAATTGTGAATAGTCGCACAAGCAACAACAATATTTCTCTGCACTTCAAATGTATAAGGTGTCATCCTTTTCAAGATTGAAAAACAGCCTTTTAATACTCCAAATGCTCGTTCAATCACATTCCTTAGCTTGGCATGTGCATGGTTACCTACAATATAGTACACCATTTCCCTTGGAAATCACAATTTATAATTGGCGGAATTAATATATATACATATATTTGCAAGTAGTTATAGGTCTAATTATGTAATTTGGAATATTTATGGAATAGATTATACTTTATTTTTTATCACAGAAAGCAAAATAATTTTAGATATCAAAGCACGCCAACAGGCATTAATAATAAGATTATGAGCCCATTTCATCAAAAAGTGTGGCTGCTTTGGGCCAATTTATTGTTGGCAAGGAAATTGATCTGGGACATATTCACTTCGACACTGAACTTACTCCGGTCCAATAGCCTGGCCTGGCTAGGCCCATGTTTATTGTACTAAATTTTACATCATTACTTTTTTTTACAAAAAATAATAATTTTTTGTTTAATTACGTATCTCCCGGTTCCTACTAAGGTCACTTTCATTAAGCTGCATTGTTTAGAAAATCCTTAACAATAATTAAATGAAAACTGTGACTTCAAAAGCGCATGGGGTGTAAATAGTTATGTTGACTCACACACACACACACACTTGTATGATAGTGTAATGAAACTTCCAAACAGCCATTTCAAATGAAATTAGTCGTGTTCCAACTTTTGAAAACTTTATGAGCTACCTAGTCAAGACTAGGTGACTTTTCAAAGCTATTTTAAGCAGAGAAAATAGATGATTTAATAGGAGCTATGTCTGAATAATAAGAGGAGTGGGAAAAAGGGGACCAACAATGAGATGGGCTCATCTTTAGCCTTGTTCCCCTTCAAAGTTAGGCAAAGAATGGGACAGGTCTCCACATTATTTTCAACTTGCCAAAACCCGCTTTGTCATTATCACTAGTATCAAAGTCCAAAGTTGTAGAAATTATACACTTTGTATACATATATATATATACAATTGACTTTAATGTTTAAACACTCTTCTTCAGCATATGAAAATCAATTTCATCTATTAGTAGTACAACACCACTACTAGTTCAATAATTGAAAAGAAGTTCTCATAAATGTAACTTAACCTTGATATGGTAAAAAATGATCGACCAAGAATGGTGTTGACCGACTCTTCAAATGGTGCTCCTACACTGCTCTCAAGGTAGCATTTGAATTTAACCTTTATTGTATTTTTTTTTTTCTTATTTTATCTACCAATTACTAATAACCCAAAGGCTTAAATACACGATCATTATTGTTACTTATTTATTTATTTATATATCATCACATGGATGTCATGTAACTCTTTGAGAATCATGTCATTTTACTGTCACGTGTTGCCACCAAAGTCATAAATACTCGAAGTACGCTCATGACTCTTCCCATCCCTAAATGAGCTTACGAGCAAGCGTATCATCACATGATTGTCGTGTAACTCCTTGAGAATCATGTCATTCCACTGTCACGTGTTGTTACCAGAATCATAAATATTTGAAGTAGGTTCAATGCCTATCCCTGTCTCTAAAGGGGATTAGGAGTGAATGCATCATCACATGGTTATCGTGTAACTCCTTAAGAATCGTGTCATTCTCCTATCACGTGTTGGTACTAGAATCATAAATATTTGAAGTCGGTTCATAGCTGGCTCCTATCTCTAAAAGGGCTTATGAATGAGTATCTTCACATGACTATCGTGTAACTCCTTGAGAAACATGTCATTTTCCTGTCACGTGTTGCCACTAGAGTCATAAATACTCAAATTAGGCTCATGGTTCGGTCCTTATCTCTTGAGCGACTAACGAGCAAACGCATCATCACATGACTGTAGTGAACTTCTTGAGACTCATGTCATTCTCCTGTCAAGTGTTGCTACTAGAATCATAAATACTCAAAGTAGGTTCAATGCTCATCACTATCTATTAAAGACTTATGTGGGAACAGAGTGCGTACAAGTTACACCTCTTTTCAAAAATAAGAGCGAAATTCAAAAAAGAGACGTTATCTAATTTGCTATCAAGGAGGAAATGGTGAATATCATTATTATTCATGTTTTAATTTTGACCAACTTTATTATGAGAATTAATCAAAAAAAAATAATAATAATAATATAGAAAAAAAAAGTCTAATGTGAGAATTTTCTTTGTATCTAACTGCCACTGCAAGAAATAGCTGAGTTTCCATGTATTTTTCCCCCTTTAACCCTAGCACTTGGGGTATGATGTCAAGGGACCACTCTAATAGATGGTCCACACAATAATCCTATGGTTGAAACTTGATAGTCCCCACGTGTGAGCAACCCAATTGCATCAACACATGCAGATTTTCACAAAGATAAAAAGGGCAGTAAGGGAATTGCAGGACAACAGTGACCAGGAAGGAAAATGAAAAAAATAAAAGTTTGAGGTATAGTGTGGGGCTGGCCATTGATCTGGTGGATCCTACCTGATGAGTCCAAGCACGCCTTCTGATAGATTGAATTCATTTCAAGATCCATTTAGAGCCAGGCCGACAGCCAGAAAAAGAGGAGACGTGGCTTCTTCTGTATAGTTTTAGCTTATAATTATTTAATTGAAATATATATACATGTATGTATATATCTATATAATGTATGTGAAGCACCTTAGCTTTTGATGAGTTGTTGCTTGTCATATATATATATATATGAATTAATGCCTTGGGAACTTGATGTTTTGGCCATTTTGATTTTTAATTGGTTTCAGTGGCAGTTAGCAAGCAAGTATAGTTGCATTTAGTGTGTGACGCTATGGTGCTAGGGTGGTCCTTGTTTGAAATCTGTATTTAGCATATACGACCTAGAGAGGAGTGAGAAGAATAAATGGTATATACCTATTAATATATAGTTTGTTAGGTTACAATTTTTATTTTTTTTTGGATGTCTATCATTTCTCACCATTATTATAAGTCAAGTGATACCCATAAGGATTCTCAACCTTTTATTCAGGGATTCAAGTCCCAATATATTGCTTAAATGAATGAAGAAACTCTTTCCCTTCAATTATTAGATTGGATTTGATGAATTATGTAAAAATATTGAGATACTGTTATTTAATTTATTTAAATTTAGACACAACGTGTAATGTGTTAAAAGTCACTGCAGTACATGATTTGTAGTATTGGTTACGATCACAGTGTAACGAATTTGAACAAAGTCAGATGAACTGATCGATACGAGTCGCATATCAAACTAAAAAAAAATTGCCTATAAAACTCTCTAAATTTAACTAGATTGCTCAAGCTGAAAAAAAGCTAGTAAGGCTTATCATACATCAATCATGTTAACGGTGAGGTGAAGTCAACAATTTACATAATGTTTTAATTTGTTTTATTCACTGCCTACTTATCCGAATATATATCGCCATCTAATTAAATACAAATCTCCTGAAAATAATCTTGAGGGGAGGTTGAGTGGTCATTGAGGTCCAAAATGAGTTGTAAATTCAACCCACCTAACTTAAGAGTCCAACATAACGGCTCTATCAATGTCTTGATTATGATTATATGGACTGTATGGTGCATGTTAAGACATGTACACCTATTTAGGTCCCCCATTGTATGATTGGATACCCTAATAAATAATTGAATGAAAATTAAATTAATAAAAAAAAATTCTTTCTTTAGAGGGTTGAAAGCTTACAGGAAAGAATATTTTGGTAATATGAAGGAGTAAAAAAAAATCGAACAAAATTTTTTACTCGTGACTCGTGATTAATGAGATTAATTCGATTAATGTAATTGTTGTATCGTAGAAGATTTATATTCTCTAATAATAGTGAAAAATTAAAGTCACCATCGGCAGGTGATTGGAAACTAATAAAGCCGTGTGATACCTTCTCAACTTAAAATGGATATTTTTGGTATTTTGTTTCTCATTGAACAGTTTTTAACACATGTTAAATAAAGGCTTTGTACCTATAAGTTCTGTAAGTAAGATATTCATTTAATTTACATTGAAAGTTCAAACTTGCCAGTTGCCATAGATGTTTGATACTTTATATGATTATAACAAAAAGTTGCTTCAATAATATACAACAGCTTTTCGGAGAGGTGTCATAAGCATAAATAATTATTTTATTTTGGTTAATGAAAAATTTCAGCTTGAATAGCTAAACACAAGAAAAATGGTGTAAGAACAAAAATTCTAACAAATTTCTTACTAAGTCTAATCCCAAGGTGGTCATATGTTGGTTTGCCAATATATATATATATATATATATATGTTTTTTTTTTTCTTTTAAATATATCTTAGACAAATAATCATTAAAGCCAGCATTTCCTCTTTTTCGATGATCAATTTCTTTATAAAAAAAAAGCGTATAGATTCCTTGGGTGTCTATTGATCGGATCATTATAAATATTATCAGATGCCATGTTACTGGAATTGATTATAGTTTTAAATTCTTAATTTATTAATTATAGTATACAAATATTATTTATTTGTGATGATGACAGTCACATAATACAGATGCGTATCAACCTTTGGATTGTGGTACATTGTTCTTGGTCTTCTGGTACATGTTTGGACAGTAATATTGCTACATTGAAATGATACAATTTGAAGCAGTATCGAGTCATAAAATACTATTCCTGATACTTCAATTTCTAGCATCCATCATCTAGGAAATATTTATTATTCTAGATTCCATACATCACATACATGATACATTTAAGTATGTAGATATATATATATACATTGTAACAAGCAAGCTATCTCCATTGAGAGAGGGTCTTACAGATTGATCATTGAAACCAGGTGGGTTTCACTTGGGAATTGAAGAACTCCAGATATGGAAACTATTATTATTTTTTAAAAATTATTACAGTGTGGCATCTTTATCACAAATTGATGAGGTTGTCTTGTTGCAATCAGAGGTGATCTCATGTGACACAAAATGTTATGTTGTTTTCTAACACATTAAATCATTTACACAATATAATACATGAGTTATATTGATGTGATATAAAGTTGGTACATAATCGATCTAAGATCATGGTTATATAAATAATGTGAAGTTGTTACAATAACATCTTGTACTATGAGAGAGGATCCGTGTCCTATCTTGTTGCTCTGCCATTCAAAATAAATAAATTATTCATATTTTTAAATGGGAGGAACCCTCCACGAATTACATGGTAGATTCCTCACCAACCCCTTGTTTGCGTGTGTTAAAGAAAGCTAGCTCTGTATACACCGAACATCTTTCAAGAGAAAATTTCATGTTTGGATTCTAAGAAAAATATATTTGCAGATAGAAATACATATAGTGGGCGAGTGGAGACGAAATTGAAGTCAATGTTCAATGGAACTCAAATCCAAGATATAGTTATATATATATATATATATATACCTTTACTAGCTAATTAATTAATTAAGTTACTAAACGTCTTTCACACCATCGTTTAGTAACAGAACACTGTATAATTATATGAAAGTGGATGTTATTAAAATACCATCAACACTAAGAAAAATAATTTGCTATTGATGGTCAAACATTTTTTATCACACACTTTTGCTGTTTGTTTGTAATATAAATTTTTATATGCATGTATCTGATAGTGTCTGCTAGTTATCGAGAGCTTAGGCCTAGTCCAATCAACCCATGAGTGAGACGAATTAATACATAGCTGGTGACAAATATATATGTATGATATATATGTGTGTGTGTGTGTAAATGAGCGTGGAAAGGTGACACAAACATATTGTTGGTATTAGACATATATATTTATGATACGGCCCAACAACCTCTATAATGTGTTGCCAAAATGTACTTAAAATAACAAATCGGCCAACCTTTTGTAGGGAAGAAAAGGGTGCCTGAATCCACCTGGAAATTGAGGTGGGTTTTTGTCTCAAACTTAAAACAAAAGTCAGAGATCGATATAAGTAAGCATATAACAGAAAATATTAAAATGTGGGATACGATATGAGGATGGATGATCATCTAGCTAGCTAGCTATTGCAATTAATTCTAGAGAGAGAAAGTGAGATTGGAGTGTGAGGAGAGGATTCATACACGAATGCAAGAGAGAAAAACAAGGGGTGTCCTATTGGACAGCTCTTTATCTCGTCCATCCCTCAGCTTATTGGAAAGGAAAGGGATCTCTGGATATTTTTTCTACACCCAATTGTTTTCTTTTGCTCCTCTGTAATATTACACTAGGAATGGCCAAACAACAATAATGCTGTCATGCACGTGACATAAATTACTGTTCCTGTGCTTATAATACTATTTCCAGTCCTAAATTCACCACAATTTTAACCACTTCCCTTTTTTTAAATCCCATTTGTTTACCTTTACACCCACTTGATTGTGTGTGATGTTTGTATGGACTACCGTGCTAGATTGCATACGTATGTATTTAATTAAGGTGTGGACTCTCAATAAAGTTATCGATTCTCGACAAGTATAATACAGTTTTTCTTAAATAAATTTTACACCCATACATGATTTTTGTTACGGTGATTCCCACACTCTACAAATGTAATTATTTTTAGTTACGGTGAATCTCACTGTACAAATGTAATTATTTTTAGTTACGGTGAATCTCACTGTACAAATGTAATTATTTCAACGAGTGTAACACAGTAAGTCTTCGTATATATTTTAAACAGTAACTTCAATTCAGAAATAATCCCATGTGCGCCATCAGTAAACATATATGAAAAACAAGGGTTGGGACAACCGTTGGATGGTGTTGGAGGGTCATTATGTCAGGATGGCCCCACCACTTGATTAATTTGCCCACATAGTAACATGGTATGTCTCTAACAGAAGTAATATTCACCTTTATAATCTCATGAATTCCATCTCATGTTAATTAATTATTCACACACATTACATATAATCTGCAAAATTCAGTGCCCCAAATTTTCATTTCTTCCGCTATAACATTAAGGAATGTTAAATCTAATAACTTTTTGACTGTCTATACACGCAATTTATTTAATGCAATGTAATATAATATCTCTCATATAATAAATCTGTCTCTTCCAACACTTTTCATTCACTTGTAATATATATTAATTGATTCACGGGTAATGTCTATATATATATATATATAGACACACATATAAGAAGAGTAGATGTAGTAGTTACTGTATGGGTTCATGGCAATGGGTTATTAAACCAAAATTGCACATATATCTGATATCACGCAAAAACCTTAAAAGTAGTCTTGTACTTGCACTCCTCTCTCATTGTCACTTCTTGCTAGCTACATAAATAGTTCCCACGTTCTGCATCAACACCATAATCATCACGCCTCTCCGTCCCCACACTCCAATCCCCTTCACTAATTTCCCATTCCCACAGTTTTCTACATCAACATTCAAATCATCACTACTCTCACACACATACATATATTTCACATCTCTCTCTATCTCTTTCTCTCTCTAAATATGTCCATAAATCACTTCTCTTCGGACCTTCCAGAAGCTCACTGGTGGACACAACACCAACCCATCATACACCCAAATCCCATAACCCCATCCTCTAAACACACACCCAATTTCATCTCTCACTGCTATCCCAATACTCAGTTTTGGCCTAATTCTCACCACCACAACCGACTCACCGCCACCGACAACTCCACCGCCACTGCCACGGCCACCATGTTTTGTGCACAAAACACCGCTTCACAATTCAACTTAAACCAAGAAGACAATGAAGAACTCGACGACCAACTCAATCATGTCGACAGATATGAAAACCTCTCCCAACAGGAACAAGAAGTGCGAGAGCCTATGTTCGAGAAGTCGCTGACGCCGAGCGATGTTGGAAAGCTGAACCGACTCGTCATACCGAAACAACACGCCGAGAAATACTTCCCACTCGGTGGCGGTGACTCGGGCGAGAAAGGATTGTTGCTGAGTTTCGACGACGAGTCAGGCAAGTGCTGGAGGTTTCGCTATTCTTATTGGAACAGCAGCCAAAGCTACGTGTTGACAAAGGGTTGGAGTCGTTTCGTTAAAGAAAAGCGGCTCGACGCCGGCGACGTCGTTGTGTTCGAGCGCCACCGCTCCGACGACGACCGACTCTTTATTGGGTGGAGGCGGCGGTGCACTGCTGTCGCCGCCACGGGGCAAGATAACGCGGTGGCTCAGCCGAGTGCGGTGGCTTCTAATAGTGGTGGGTGGACCCAGGTGTACTATTCTGCGCATCCTTATCCTTCGCACCCTCATGGGCCTCCTATACCATACCAACCTGACTGTCTTCATGCAGGTATCATTTTTTTTCCACACTACATTACATCAACCCTATCTTGTTTTTATTTTCTTCTATTTATTATTATATGCCTGTAAATACGCACATAACATGTATGTATATAATATACGCACATAAAGTGCGTGCGAAACACCTTCCAATTACTTGGGAGCTATGTTTATGTATGTTTTATGAATTAGAAATATGCATATTGAATGTGTTTGTGTATATATATATACATGTAAGGCTAGTCCATCATCATGTTCCAATTTGACACAGGAGTATGAAGCTCAACACGAGACATATCTTTTTACTGTCTCTACTTAAAATTAAGCTCACATAAAATTTGACATTTTGTTACACATATATTTAGTTTGCACAACATTTTTAACAACGCAAAAATAAATAAACAAAAATTAGCAGTACTATGTGTTGTGTTGTGTGTGTTTTTATAGAAAAGATATTGATAATTTGTGCGTTGAATGTATTATTACAGGGTCAATTGTGCAGAATCAAACTACGCCGAGTGGGAACTCCAAGACAGTGAGGCTGTTTGGGGTGAATCTGCCGTGCCAGTTGGATGATGAGTCCGAGCCACCTACTCCTGATAGTTCTTCTGTGTCTAGCCAGGTTCAAGCCATCTATCAATATTACCCAGAAACTCATCCTTCACACCAAGTATGCCAAATATTTTAATATTACCTTCTAAAAAGTCCAATTTAGCTTGTCGAATTTTCCATTAATTTGTGTGATGAAATAATAAATGTCTAATTTACTCGTGTTGTAGTTGAATGTTGCATTAAAAACAACGAAGTGGTTAAGAGGAGGAATATTTAGATAATACATGATTGTATAACTATTTTTAACATGCGAATTTACCATTTATAACCTAAAAAAAATGAGGTTATTAGTATAATTATTGTTATGTGCACATACCACATTCAACCCACCCTCCACATCAAATTTTTTACGTTCTGCACCACACAATTTTCCATGACTGATAAACGTTAGAGTAGGACACAAATAGAGAGGATGTCAGCTTGACACTATACTATACTGCTTACATGCTAAGTCGTGTGGCTAAGTCAGTTTCCATGTATTATATCAGTATTATTTTGAAACTGTTCTTATATCAGTATTATTTTGAATTTGCCTTCTTTATACGCTAAGTCGTATATTTTAGTATTATATTCTAAAGACGTGGCTAATTCAATTTCCACGTGTCATATCTGTATTATTTTAAAACTGCTCTCACATGCTAAGTTGTATATTTTAGTATTATATTCTAAAGACGTGGCTAGTTCAATTTTCACGTGTCATAACTATATTATTTTAAAACTGCTCTCACATGCTAAGTTGTATTAATTCAGTTTCCATGTGTTATATCAGTATTATTTTTAAATTGCTCTCATATGCTAAGTCGTATATTTTAGTATTACATTCTAAAAACATGGCTAATCCAATTTTCACGTGTTATATCAATATTATTTTGAAATTGCTCTCACATACTAAGTCGTATATTTTTAGTACTGCTTTCTAAAGACATGACTAATCTAATTTCCACATGTTCTATCAGTACTATTTTGAAACTGTGCTCACATGCTAACTCATGTACATTTTAATATTACCTTCTACAGAAGTGACTAATCCAATATCCATCTAGAGTACTACCTTCTATTGAAGTGACTAATCCAATTTCCACTCAACACTATTATTTTGAAATTGCTCTTTACATGCTACATCGAATATTTCAGTATTACCTTCTAAAATCAGTATTATTTTGAAACTGCTCTTTAAACAGGTTGAAGCTTAAAAATACTTTCGAAACTGACCTCTTGAAATATCATAGTCTTTTTTTAGAAAGACAAAAACGATTTTAGTAAAGTTATGGCTTTCTATAAAAGACATAAACATCTCAATAAAGTAGTCTTTTTTTCTAAAAAGACATATTTATTAAGAAAAGTTGTGTGTGATTAGGCCTATTACAACTTTCAAAGAGATGTGTTACCAACCATTGTAAATAGGATTTAAAAAAGAAAATAACTTGCCAATAAAGATGTTACTATTTACATACCTAAATTTATATAGGCGTAAATAGGAACATAGAAGTGTTCTTAAAACATCTACTTCTTGGGGGCTTGTGCTCACAAAAACTATTATCTCAATATTCCAAAAGAATTAAGTATAAGATTTAGTACAAAGAATAGACGGACATGGGCTAGGTACATTCTCTCTCTTGCTGCTTCTTTATAATCAAACTATTGACAAATTTGACTCCTGATCTTTCCTTTGTCATTGTTAAGAACTATATAATATGCATACACAAGTGGGTTTAATTTAAAAAAAAAAAATTTCTTGGGCAAGTGTAATGATTTTGATATTTAGTGAGGTCAAGAATGAAGATAGATAGATACATGATGTTTCATCTACCTAACACAACCAATTGTTTACAGTTCTGGTAGTGTTCAGATATATACCGTAACTAGTTTCACCTGATGGTGGTCATGATATTGATGCTTATATATATTACATATATATAATATTTCATGGTTACTCCTCAATAATTATGTTGTATTGTTGCAACAGGATACCAATTTCTCGAGTGATGTCAACCAGATGAATTATCGCTGAGGATAAGATCTCTGGATGTAACGTCCAGATTGACCTATTGGGCCACTTGGCATATCAAAAAAAAAATAAAAAAATAAATAAAAAAGGGAAAATCCCAGATTTTCAGGCAACTTTCTCTCACTAGAAAAAAAGAAAAAAAAAAGATGGATTCACCACCAAAGTCAGGAAGGGAGGAAGAAGCAAAAGGAAATGGAGGTGAAAGAGACTTGAGGATGGGTAGGGGAGTGGGTGGCCCCACAAAAGATAGGGCTGACGTAATCCAGGCCCAAATGGGGGAATATGGGTCGTTGCAATCAGGAATCTATATATATATATTGCTACTGTTGTGATTCTGCCTGAAGATTTTTCATAGGGCTTCATCATTCGCCATATAGATCACAAAAATAAGTTAGTAGAGGGGAGGTGATGTGGTGGGCAAGTGGGTGGGTGGGTGGACTTGTTAAGTTGATAAGATGGGTGACAACCCCCAAGTAGTAGTACTAGCCCACTCCTCTTTCTCCATCACCTATGTAACTGCTATCTAATGTTTTGTTCATCTGTTGTTGTTTTGAAATTTTCAAAAGCTATATTTAATGAATAGTATGTTCAATTATGCTATACCTATATTTTTGTTGCTAATTTGATGTCAGGTCAGTAGTCTCTCACACCCACACCCACAAACTCTTTATTGAAATATAGGATATATGAATATATGTATTGATTTATGCAAGTGATGATGATGAAATTATTGTCAATCAACATTCAAATGTATGTACGAGAATAGGATATGACAAAATTGATTTTATATTAACTATAAATCATTCAAGTAATGTCTACGTAATAATAATTATTATTATTTTTAGATTTTAGTTTTTATAATCTCATTGTAAAAAATTTTACAACCATGTGTGGATTAATTGTGGTCCCTTGGAATCATGGGTCACGTTATCATTTTGAAATTTAGCACCTCCAAAAGAGGGACAACCAGAAATTCTGAAAAGCAGCATTCTAAGACCAAAGAATATGGAAAAGGAGGAGGGAAAGAAGATTACATAGAGAGATTACATAGAAGATCACATAAAGGATGTAAATCATGTGAGATGCTTTGAAAAGTACGAGGAGGAAATATACAATGTTACTCTCAGGGAGTCTACATTGGAACAACATTAGACCTGTGTTGTTGTCTTGCCCCAAAATAATAATAACAATAATATATAAATTAATTAATTAATTTATTTTAAAATAAATAGAGTGGAAAATGGTACCAAATAAATCTTAATGCACACCAATTTTAGGTCAATTGCAGTTCATCACCATACTGCCTGCTCTCAATTGATGACTGGCCATTATATAACTGTTGACCTAAGCCCCTGTCCTTGGCAGGTGCTTTAAACTGCTGTTAGTGTTTTCTTTCGCACCTATTTAATGTTAACATAAAAGGGACTATAAAGAGTTGAGAGTTTTTACACAAGGTGACCTTCATAATGTCTTATCAATGCTAGTTATCAAGGGCTTTGTGGCCTAATGATATCTCCTCTACCTCCCAAGGTGGATAGTGAGGATTCGAGTCTCCAAAGGAGTAAAGTAGATGTGTGTAGTGTGTGTGAATTTCTTGCCAATGATTAAATATATATATATATATATATATATATATATATATATATATATATATATATATATATATATATCAGTGCTAGTTGGGATGCAACAATTGCCTGAAGTAACATGATAAAGAATCCAAGGGTACCCTAAGTGCCCTACGACCACGAAATTTCGTTAATATAGCGAAACAAGAAAGAAACATAGATGGAGATGCACAGTCAACCTGTTATAATGAATATGGAATATCAAATGGGATATTAGAACAGTGCAAGGGCATATAAAGGATTTTAACTTGTGCCTTCCAACCTCCAAAATGTTACATTTTGTAAGCTTTCATTATATAATGAGAATACTCATCCATAGTGGTTTTCTAAAATTTTCATAAAGGTTTCTCTAAAAAAATAAAAAATAAATAAACCTTAGTTTTCCTGAAAAGCAAAAGCAAGTTTTTTCGTACTTCAAAAATAGTTTCTGGTGAGAATGGTTTTTGTTAAAAAAAAAACATTTCAAAAAGTTCTATACACCTATAAAAGACCCTCTGATTAATATGAAGTCAGATATGATTGTTGTTAAATACAGGAATATCTGGTGAATTACAAATTTGGACTTGACCAATCCTTTCACCTATGAAGCATAACTAACCACCTTCCTATATTTGTTAAAATATACGCATTCTCTTTATTCACTCAAGTCAAATCAACTAAGACTTGGTTGGCTAAATAACATTCAAACTTTAGCCTATAATGGCATCCGAACTAGGCCTCAAGCTAGCAAACCAATCTAGCAGGGAAGCAGTCCTGATCATTAGGTCATTCAGGAATTTACAACTACTTGAGCACACCGAGTATGGTTTCTGACAACTGCCAGTAACACTTAAGCAAATGTGTATTAACAAAAAAAAAAGGAGAATTTTACAACTACCTCGTGAATTATCTGGGTCAACAGGCTTTTTATTTGCAGTTAAATGTTGAATACGAGAATTCGGAGATTTTGATACACTGAGCAGTTGAATAAAGAAAGTAAAGATGGATGAAATGAAAGGATGCATTACCTGTGTGAGTAGTCAAATATAATGTCATCATGTGCTTATCCGGGTCCATAGAGATTGAGACAAGATAGATACCCATTGACCTCTGCTGGCAATGGCGTCCAATTACAGTGGGTGTGCAAGTGGGAGGGTCCCCAGATATGTCATCTTATCATATGCCTTAAGGTAGTGACTGATTATTGGACTGAAGGGACTCCTCCATTATGTGTTTGCACTGCAAAAATAATTCAATTATTCATGCGTTAGTACAGTATAAACAAATGAAAACCATGTGAGTACATGTTGCTCCCACTTTGCTTTTCGTCTCATCAGGATTCTTGCCTTTTAGGCTTTTCGGAAAACCTCATTTTCACCTCCTCTTGTACCTGGCAAAGAAAGAAAATAATACTTTGTCATCATTGAAATGAAAACAAAAGTTAGAAAAAGAGAACCTTAAATTCCATTGAAATAACAAATAATTGACAATGATACGAAAAGATATTAAATTTTGGAAACAAGATAGATATGCAAAAGATTATATAGCAAAACAGCCATAAGAAATACCTGCCTCTCCTTTGGAAACAGGTCCATCACATAGCAGAGACTAATAAAAAGAGTTACTGGAGACGATGAATCTTGATGCCTTTTTAATCACCGATATGCTAAAGATACTAGTTATTGGGCATCAAGACAAATCTAGGTATCATGCACTTGATGATAAAGCAAATACCCATATGCTTGAAAAGACCTGAACCAAAACCAAGTCATGAGGCAGCAGCCAATGTTGCAGCTCCACCAACAATTACCTAATAGAGCAACCCACACACAGGTCCCTCAATAACAGAAATCATTCTTCAAGTAGTTAATCTCACAATAATTTCACTCTTGGGGCCGCTTATACAAGCTTTGTTAAGAGTGGGACGCCACAGCTCTTACAGCGACTTGTTAACCAAAAGTAAGAGCCAGCTCCTCATGTATGTGCCTAAGTACTCTATTTAGATCTTCATATAATGCAAGTCTTTTTCAAGCATCATCGCCACCTCACCTTTTATCTCATGTATATGTAGACAAAAACCCCACTTTCAATCTGAACTTTAATCAAACTTCTCATCTGATTTCAATTTCAAACTCCCCATGACCAAGCATTCCAAGATGTTTAACAGCCACACACGTCTTTCTTTGACATTATCAATGTATATTCAACGCCCTGTTCAATCTCAACTTCAATCTAACTCCCTGTTCAATCTCAACTTCAAACTCCCCTTCCTCCAATGAAAGCGCCTTTCCTTGTGTTTCCAAGACTGCGCCACGCATATTTTCCTTTAAGAAGATAGCAGAAACACCCTACGGTCTTTCCGTTTCAAACAGATGTTCTACTGCAGAAAACCAATCCAGACACCTAATGATCCTGTAGCAAAGAGACAAATGCCCAAAATGGGAACAGCAGTAACAAAGTGCCTTCTACTCTAATTTTTCAGCTCATTATTAGTACAAGCAAATAACATGAAATACAGTTCTTGCATCAGTATAAGCGTATATTGGTGGGTTTTCTCATATCATATTAGTATTGTATAAAACAACCACAAGTTATAAACAGCCTTCTTTCTGTTTCAAATTAGTCTCCCCTTTCACCCACCTTCTCACCCAACCGCAATATATTTGGGTGTGAGCGCGCATATATATAAAGGAAGGTCAATGCTCCCACCCTTCTATCAGTTCATTAGAGGAACAGCAGAAGAGAGAGAAGGGAGAGGGGGAGAGGGGGGATGGGGAATCAAAACTCACTCTCTCAAAAACCAAGTCTGAGCCTCCTTGCTTACACATGGTAGCAGTCTTCAGGCTTTATTCAAAATGCTATTCATCCAATCAGATACCCCAGACATCATAGTTTTAAATCATCAATTTCATAACCAAGATAATATGTTGCTTGTTTTAATTTTTTCTGAAGATTTCTTTTTCGCAAGAAAAAACATATACATCACAAGTATGAATCAATAAGAGATACAAGAGTCATATAATATGGTAAGCACAGACCAGTACAAGGAATGGATGAGAGAATTTAAACAAAACGAGAGAGAGATGGAATTAAATATACAAAGCTTATCCTCATAAATCTGTAACATTCAGGTTTATGTTTAACAAACATATATCCGTCAAAAGGGATGGATTTTGAAGGTCCCAAAAATTGCCACTCATTAAAAAGATCAACTCAATTTTTGGTGGTATCCTCTTCCGGCGGAGTCATGATGTCTAGAATCTTCCTTCTCCATGATTTGTTGTTTACCTTCTTGATTCCAATCTAAGAAACTTCAAAGTGCATCTATATATGCATAAGCTCTTGCAATCATGAAATCATGAAACAGGCCTAAGCTCTTGGATATGGTACTTCGGCACGTATAAAAAACAGGTAAAAGAAGTGTTTACGAATGTTCTGGCATAAAAATCCAGGAAGATGCTTCCTCTTGTCATTTTCCACTTTGACAACAGCCTATTGCTATACCCACAAAAAATTAAACCAGTTCAATAGCTTTAAATGTACATATAATCCAACAAGAATTTTTTCTAGAAGGAAGTAGACAAAGTGTGACCAATAAAATAAATGTTTCAAATGACACAGATTCTGAAGTCTAGTTAAATCTCTGTTGTTGGGAAGGAAGATGGAACGGAAATGTTCAACAACAGAACCTACAAGTATTCAATTAGTAACACTAATTTCTTGAACTTCGTTAAGCAATCAATATCGTTCATTTCATCAACGAGCCAAAGAGTTTGTCAACCATTTCAGTAACTTTTCCTCTATTTCACTTTCTTATGTCACACCACAAAAAATTACCTCTAATAGTTGTTAAAATGTTGTACTGACACAACCAGGGGCGGAGCCAGGATTTGGCAATTTGTTTTAAAAAAATAAAAAATCACAGATGAGAATGGCGAAGACGACAACAGAAGCAATTTTGATTTTCAAAAAACGTAAAATGTTAGAAATAAT